TGAACTTCAGAGGTGTGTCTGCAGATTTCTTTGAGAAACTGAAAGCAAGTCTTGTGAAAAGAATGGAAGCTGTGATAAAGGTAAAGAGTGGACACACTGAATACTGAATTGATCAAATCAGTAGTTTTTCTGCTTAATATGTTTTTAGGCTACAAAATGAATAACCTGTACTCAACGGCCATTTTCAGTGGTGGTCTCTGATGTTTGCACAGTACTGTACATCTCTCATTTCCTGCTGCAGTTACAGTGTGTGCCCTTACATAACTCCCCCCACCACCACACACACACTTGTTCTTACACCTTGAAGTCAGCTCTATAATTATTTTGTTTTTGAACTGTCTGTCGCTGAAGGCAATTAACACACATACACACTCATACACACAGAAGACAAACTTGCTACTTAAATGATAAGTGGAGTAGAGTTTAACAGGCGAACTAATGAGGTTTGAAGTTGACTGGAAGAGAAGATCTAAAGGAATCTGTGTGCCAAAGCTTTTTATTGCTTTTATTGCTTTATTGTGGTTTGCAGCGGCTGCATGAGTCTTTTATTTGATGTGTGGCTTCATTAATTCCGACCCTTAAACAGATCTAAAATTACACTTACACGGTAATTCAGCCATTAATTTACATCTGTTTAAGCGCAGACATTAAGGAAGTCTGGCTTATCTGAAGTGAGTAAGTTTGGTAAGTTATTAAATACACATATAATTGGAAAAACAAACTTCACTTTTTTATAATAAGGGTTTAATGAACTATGTAAACACTATTCGTCTTCAAAATGTACCAGTCATTCCCCAGTCCAGATATGTAGACTGAGTAGCCTGTTTTGAGTTTCTGATGATTGTGATGACACAAACATGAACATAACTAATATCAACTCACATTCAACTTTCAGTAGTTTTACCTCACCCATTAGCATTGAAGTGATGGGGAGTGTTGTTCCTGCAGGCAGTCTGTAGCAGAGTTATCGGAGTGTAAGACGTGGTAAAATGATTAAATGTTGTACTGTTCCTGGCTGTTGGGAAGCAAATGGATCATTGCAGCAGCCTTCCAAAGGATCCACACATCTGTCTGAATTTGTTTTTTCAGATGTTGAAAAGGATTTAGGTGCATTTGTTCCATATATTTAAGCCAGGGCTGCTTTTGTGAATGAGGCACATTACAGGACAACCAATCAGAACATAGCTCGTTTACATATGACGGTCTTAAAGGTCATTAATAAGTCATGTAAAAAAACAAACTATTTTAGTGCATAAATAGCCCAAATATTATAAATGAGTTTTCAAAATCAGCAATGCTGTTGTAATACATATAAAATAATATACACATTAGTTCCATAGTAGTTACTGGATGAAGGCTTAATAACAGACTAATAATAATAATAATAAGCCTCTAGTTAAAGAGGTTAAATCAACAATGTTATTTTAATATCTTATTTTAAGCCTCTCTGTCCCTCTTGTTTCTGTCAACCAACAGACAGCATCTTCCACGATGACCCGTACTACAAGTCCGAGACGAGCCTAGTGGAGTTTGGCTTCCGTAACGGCCCAGTGCCCAACGGCAGCATGTGCAGCAGCCCGAGCGTGAGCTCCCTGAACCGCTCTCAAACCTTCATCCACTCCTCGCCCATGTCGTCCAACCTGAGCATTCCCGGCAGCGAGCTGATGCGTCCCGACTACATCCCCAGCCACCGGCACTCTGCCATCATCGCGCCGTCTTACCGGCCCACTCCAGAATATGATGCTGTGATGCGGCAGAAGCGGCGCCTTCTTCCGGCCACACCTTCCTCTGACTGCCACAGCCAATCACTGCGCAGCCTCAACATTAGTAATACCTACGCTTACAGGCAGCCTGAGGCGCTGGTGTACAGCCAGCCGGAGATGAGGGAACGAGGGATGTACCATGGGCCTTATGGAGGCGGAGGAGGCCCTCAACCTGGATATGGACCACCTACTGGCCCCTCCCCTTCCCATCCTGGAACAGGGGTCATACAGCCTGCAACAGGTCAGCCAGCCACAGCCGGAAACGGCATCTCTCACACGGTCAGTACACCTGAACTTGCTAATACCAAGCAACAGGTGGTCAATGGAAGAACTGGTGACCAGTCTTATGCTGCCCACATGTTAAGGAATCACCTGTCCAGGCCACCACCGCCTTATCCAGCCTCCTTCAGGCCAGCCACAAGCACCCCGGACCTGGCCAGCAGCCACCGACAGCGCTGCATGGGCGGCTCCAGCCCGGAGCTGGTCACGCGCAAGGTCCAGCTTTCTGTTAAGACCTTCCAGCCTGACAGCTCAGCCGTGGTGGACCTGCAGTCGCTGCAGGAGGTCAGCGAACCACTGACCTCAGCCAAGCGCCGCACTGCACTGGCCAAGCGCCACAGCATGGAAGTGGTTGGAGGCATGCGAGCCATGGAGGCGCTAGTCATGAAGGGGGCCAATGTAGTCCTACCTCGCAGAAACACGCTAAGAGAACAAGCCCCATCTACAGCCACGCCCCCTCAGCCTCAGGCCCCTCCTCCTCCTCCTCCTCCACCTCAGCCATCGCAGCTGTCTGAGGTGGCTGTGCAGATGTCCAGTCAGAAATCAGAGCACCAGGCCCAGTCGTCATACCAGCATCACAAAACGCTCTCCAACGTCACTATGCTAATCCACAGCAGCGAGAGCGAGGAAGACGAGGAGGAAGAGGAGACCCCCGAGTTAGACGTTCAGATTCCAGGGTTGAATGAAGACATAAGTGCTCAGTTGCAGGCGGCGCTGGCCAACATCCCAAACAAACCACCACCCGAGTACCCGGGCCCACGCTCCAGCGGCAGCAGCACCGCCCTCAGACACCACAATCAGGTGCTCACTTAGCTACAGTTTGAAATGAATATTTTGCCAAAGAAAGGCAGTTTTCCCATTATCTCATTTGAAGTCGATTAGCCAAAATGCCAGCAGGTAATAAAAACTTATGAACACCACTTAACATTGTGCAAACTGCACGTCTAAATCATTGCACACTGGAGTTATGTCCAGTAGACTTGCTTATGTTATGTGACATGCATTGCATGTTGATTTCCTAATTATAATAAAGAATAATAATGATAATAACATCTACTCTACAGGAAGCTAACTTAAATGTGCCACATTTCTGCACATTTTAGTGCAAAATTTAGGTTTTATTTATGCTTTTATTTGTATTGTATTTATTATATCGCTGTTGTCGGAATAAAACCTTGTATCTTCAAAATGGTAACTTTACAGGAGAAGGAAAAAACCTACTTCACTTTTAACGTAAGTCAATGGAACCAGACGTTTTCTAAGTATTTTTGGGTCATTTCCTTTAGTCCGTTCAACCTGAAATTTACACACAATGTAAAGGGTAACAAGCATTTTCAAATTATGTCAAAAACTGAAAAACGTAAAAAATGGAGATACAAGGTTTTCTTCTGACAACTGCATATGTATGTATTTATTAGTGACTGTGTCGAAAGTAATGGACAAAATTACAGACAAAAATCAGGCTAAGACTGTTTTTACCTATTCAACGCACTTGAGCCAATTCTCATAGCTTATTTGTTATTGCGTTATATTTGTTAGGATTTAGTTTAACCTGAAACTCACACTGTGTGGGCTAAATGAGTACAAGAAACACAGTAGCACTTTTCCAGTACCTGCTATTAGCCAAATTTACAATATAAGCAACATTATTTTCCCTAAATAAATGTTAAATTCTTAGATGAAAAATCACACTGCCTTTTTAAATAATATGAATCAAGGAAGTATGAGGCAACTGGCTATTCAGCACAGTGACCGTCTGAAAAAAATAATCTGATCTAATCTGATCCTGTTACCAATCGTGCATTCCTAATATTTGTTATAGCAAATTCCTATATTCCAAAACATATATGACATGCATACTACATAGTAATAACTACATGCAAACATGTAAAGTATGCTTTTCCTTTATGCAAAACAGAATTGTACATAAAACAAGAACCTTTCATTAAATTCAAATCATAATAATAATCTCCTTACAGGCTTGAATGTAGTATCAAGTTAAACTTTCACAAAATTTCTCCAACTGTTTCAATGAGCTGTGAGCAAGAAATAATTAAACAAAATCTAAGTGTTGTTTGGTCACCCCCGATCAAATTGCGTATTTTTTGGATTTGGTATTTTTAAATGTAGGTATTTTTAATATTCGTGCACAATTACTATTTATTTGCTGGCTTTAAAATATTGGAAAAAAAAAATAAATGTAAAATTGGCCATCATTGGACATTCCATATCTACTCGTTAATCTCTATTATTAATATACAAATACAACATGCTTTGTTGTTGCCAGTGATATCTGGGTGAATAAGTTGTCTGTTGATGCAGGACCGTAGCCGTGGCTCTCCAGAAGCAGCTCAGGGGCAGGTGCATGCCGAAGCCCAAGCAGACGGACTACGAGCTGGACAGAACGCAGCCGGCGGCCCCCAGGTCAGCCTGAGCGGAGCAACTCTGGGGCCGTCCATCTCTGAGCCTGACCTGACCAGCGTGAAGGAGAGAGTGAGGAAGGAGCCGGTGAAGGAGAGGCCAGTGTCAGAAATGTTCTCCATCGAGGACAGCATTGTGGAGAGAGAGATCAGACAGAGGGTGAGGCAGACTGTCTGTGTGAGAGAGAGAGAGAATGTGAATGTTGCTGAAGTAGAGGACAGTGAGGCACAACCTGACACGTTTTATTCTTTGCTGAATTATTTTAAAAATAATTCAGAAAAATTGATACTTTTTATACAAGCGATAAACACATTTCTGCTACCAAAACCAACAAACAATATGTGTGTGTGTTTGTGTGTGTGTGTGTGTGTGTGTCTGTCTAGAGTGTGTGTGTATGTAGGGTATGTGTGTATATAGGCTGCATGTGTACTGTGTATGTATGCAGAATGTCTGTAGAGTGTGTACGTGTGTGTAGTGTGTGGATGTGTGTGTAGTACGTGTGTAGAGTATGTGCTCACAATGTGTATGTAGAGTGTGTCTATGAAGAGTGCGTGTATGTGGAGTGTGTGTGTATACAGAGTTCATGTATACTGTGTGTGTGTGTATGTAGAATGTCTGTAGAGTGTGTGTATGTGTGTAGTGTATGTGTCTACGTGTATAGAGTTTTTTATGTATAGAGTGTGTGTATGTGGAGTAGACGTGTAGAGTATGTGTGTAGAATGTTTATGTGCAGTGTGTCTATGTAGAGTAGGTGTATGTAGGGTATGTGTGTAGAGAGAGTGTGTGTGAGTGTAGAGTTTATGTATAGAGTGTGTATGTATGAGTGTGTATGTGTGTGTGTGTGTGTGTGTGTGTGTAAGTGTATAGTGTGTATATGTGTGTAGAATGTGTAGTGTGTGTGTAGAGTTTATGTATAGAGTGTGGATGTGTGTAGTATGTGTATGTAGAGTGTGTCTATGTAGAGTGTGTGTATATAGAGTGCATGTATACTGTGTATGTAGAATGTCTGTAGAGTGTGTGTATGTGCAAAGTGTGTGTGTGTGTATGTGTCTAGTGTGTTTGTGTGTGTGTATACATGTAGTGTGTATATGTGTAGAGTGTGTGAGTGTATGTACAGTATGTGTAGAGTGTGTGTGTATGTAGAGAGTGTGTGTGTGTGTAGAATGCATGTGTTCTGTGTGTATAGTGTGTGTGTGTGTGTGTGTTTAGAGTTTGTGTATAAAGTGTGTGTATGTGTGTGTGTGTGTGTGTGTGTGTGTGTGTGTGTGTGTGTTAGTCGTGAGCTGAATACACAGCTGCTAATTGTGATTAATCTGGGAGTTGGGAGTGTAGGGTAACGGTAGGTCTCCTGTGTCGGACTCTAATCTGGATGAAATGCAGGGATTATGTGTGGAGCGTGTTAAAGTCTAACCCATTAGCACTGCAATGTAAATGTGACACTGCAGATAGCACAGGCCTTAACCCAGCTCAGTGAAAGCCTCATACTGTTCTGTGTCTGCTTAGCCCTGTTCATAATTTCTACACTACTGTTCAAAAGTTTGCAATCACTTTTCATATTAATTATATTTTTATACACACTACTAACTTAGATGATAAATGAGTTATAAACTAGATATAATGTGGTATTTTCAGGTGCTTTCCTTTATATTCCAAGCATTTTGGGAACAAGAAGAAGTTATTAAATGTTAAATAACACACTCTAATTCTGTTTGGCATATTTTTTTTTAGATTTTTTTTGTCAAATTACCTGCCTGGAGATCACCACCGTGGTTATTAATTTTATTACAACTTTATGCAGGATATTAAAGAAATTCATTCTTGATATTAATTTTATTAGAACATTCTTGATGTTCTATGGCTTTTTCTGTCATTTTAGAATCTTTTACAGCTCTATTCATCATTCTGGACATTAAATCTTACATTTCTTCACAGCTCTCTTCTAATAATTAAAAGAAAAATTGAACATTGTGAGGATAATAGCATAATTTTTTTGCTTTTATTGTTTTTGAATGGTTGAAAACAGTCACTGTAAACTTTTGAACATTGCTGTATGTCTGCTGCATGTGGTTGTTGTTGCATCTCGACTGCTTTGAAACTGAATTTCGTGTTTGGACCTGTCTGTATGTTTGACACTCCCATCATTGGAGCCTCTGTCACTTCACTGTGTCCACACCTTTGCATAGTATCTTCATCATTCATTACTGTGTGTGCACATGTGGGTGAGTCTGTATATGTGTGTGTGCAGGTGTGTGTGTGTCTACACTCACTGGTCACTTTATTAGGTACACCGATCAGAACTGTCCAGGCTGTGGTCCTTTCTGCGGTTCTTTATAGATGTGAAGGCTGGACAGTTAAAGAGCAGGACAAGAGAAATATTGATGCCTTCAAACTTCAGAGTTGGTGAAGATATTTGAGAGTATTAAAAGGGGAATCCCACCAATTTTTCCAAGTTTCTGAATAATTCAGTCCTTGAGATGTAAACATCATTTAGAGTCATTTAGAGTGATTTGGTGTGAAATGGTTCATTGTAGAGAAACTAACTGACTCTTTACAGTGCTGGTGATAGGAACCAGGGGTCACCGTGTCGACAACACAAATATAGCCATTTTATTTAATATCCAAAACCACCAGTGAACCTACACGAGTCTTCTGATTGTTTATGTTGATGATGGTAAAATAGTGGAAAATCTGCAAATGTAAGTTTTCTTTGGGGACTTTTTTGCCTCACCACGCCCTGCGCGTACCTCTCTACCATGAATGGATGATAATAAATGGATTAACATACATTTTATGCCAAAAACTATCATAAAACAAAGTAATAGCTTTCTGTGAGGGAGCTATCAGAGGCATTAAACTCAACAGACGTCTGGTTCCTATCACCACCACTGTGAACAATTCCCGACAAGTTTCTCCAGGAAGGAGCATTTCACACCAAACCACTCTGAATGACTTTGTTTACATCTAAACCTTTTAATTATGTGGGATTTCTTAAAAATTTGCTGGAGTTCCCCTTTAAGGAACTGACTAAAGATTGCTGACTAAACTAAGCCTCTCCTCTTACTTGAAGCCCAGATAGCCACACCGAAGCTCTCCTATTTTGGACATGTTATGAGAAGAACCAGTTAATTGGAAAATTATATTTGGAACAGTTAAAGGTAAAAGATGAAGAGAGCAACCAATAATAAGATGGATGGAGACAATCAGGCAAATCATGAACCAGCAAACAGAAACCGAAGACATGCTGTTCGTGAGAAACACTATTCATATAGTCACGAGGAGTCTGGACAAACCTGATGGAACTTAATAATAATAATAATAGTATAAAAATAATAATAATATGCTTAACCCCCACTTTTCAATGGTCAGGAACCCTACAGGGACACCACTAAGACGATGGTGGATCATTCCCTAGCACTGCGTTGCTGATCCACTGATACCAGCGCAACACATACTTATTTACTAATTCACTTTTTCACACCTTGTTCATTTGTTAATGCTCACAACAGTGTTTGGGTTTTTATGACTTTGTATCATTTTTATTTGGTTCAGCTGGTTTCACAGTGCATGAAGTGGTGGTCCTGTGGGGCACCTGACCTTTGATCAATGAAGTAATGAAGGCTAACAAATCATACAGAAAAAGAGATGAACTGCAGCCTGTGATTGTAGAACCACAGAGTGCTCCTATATGGTGAGTGGAGCCAATAAAATGGACAGTGAGTGCAGATACAAGGTAGGTGTTCCTAATAAAGTGGTCAAGAAGTGTGTATATGTGGGTACAATTGTATGTGTGTGTATGTATGTATATGTGTGTGCTGGTCAGTGCCTAGCGGTGTTGTTTTGGCAAGTACAACATGGGAGCTTAAAATTAGCTGAGATTAAGAACTATAATCCTACAGACAGGCTTGCAGAAATGAGGTCAGAGCAGGGAGAGAGAGAGAGAGAGAGGGTGAGTGAGGCGCAGAGTTTCATTGTTAAATGAGCTCAGAAGGTGTCTCACCTCATTCTGTAGCCAAACTCTGAAGCACTTGCTATTCTTATGCCGTAGAGAGGGACAAAGAGAGAGAGAGAGAGAGAGGCATAGACAGAGAGGGAGAGAGAGACTGCTTGCAATATTGCATCAGTAAGACAGTATTGTGTGTTGTGGTTTGTGATAATGACGGCTGGTTTCTCCTCTTTGATGAAGACTCTGGAGAGGCAGAAGCTTTCAGCTGACTCGATGAAGAGGCCTCTGATGATGGCGGCTCTGAATGGACTCTATGTTGCCCGCATGCCCGTCCCAGAAAACCCGCATGAGGACGCCTCCGCCAAGGCCAACACAGATGAACGGGTAAGATACTGTACAAAACTTTCCACTTTTTCCAAGTCTTCAAATTAAAAATGTTAGCATTAAGCCACTGAGATCATGCTAACTTTTAGCATTCATGGAGTTTATGGAGTTTTCAACTAGTATAAAGTCACATTTTAGTAAGTATAATATGTACTTTTCTATATAAATTGCATATATGTTAAAGCATATATAAACTGTCATGTTGCGTTATATAGTACTCAATTGTATCTTTTTGACAGAATTCATGCTTCTATTTTCTTGTTGTGGTTTCATCCATCAGTGTTCCATTACTAAATTACCCGTCATGAATTACATAAGTTCGTCATACAACCATTGAAATCCGAACTCCAAGTCTAGCTGTTGGTTGTAAAGAAATAAAAACACAAAACAGGTAATAGAGACAAGTTCTCAGTCACAGAAAGGAGCTAAACTGAGATACTGTCTCTAGGTAGCTAACTAGCTAACTTTACCTTTTAGCTTTGTTGTCCTCATCTGACAAGTCGTTTCTGTCTCTCAAGTAATCCATTCTCTCCACCGTAAAGATGATCTGAGGAAAGTTTGTTAAATGAATTGCAATAATATAATTCTAGCACTAATGTTAGCGGTTAGACTTCCTCCTGCATTAGCCCAGTCACATTAGCTAGCAAGCCAAACAGCCTACCTCAAGTATCTGTCGCAAAGCACACGTAGTCTTTTAAAAAGTTCTCACACCTTCAAAACACTTCTTTAGAAGGGGTTTAATCCAGTATTCAAACTGAGAAATATGTAGCATGTACTACTTCACTACTGTTGACAACATTGGTGGTTGAATTCGTTGCATTAGCATTAGCTATTTGGCTTCCTTCTGCTTTAGGCCGAACACATTAGCCAGTGAGCCAACTAGCCAAAAAAAATGCTAACAACCTGACCTCAAATATATAACTCAAAGCAATAGAGGTGTTTCAAACACTAAAAAGCCTTAAATGGCTCCCAACTTCAAGAAAGGATTTTAGCCGTTATTCAGACAGTAATCTTGCTCTAGCAACTACGGCTTCATAACATAAGTGGTTAAATTTTGGATTTTAATTATAGCACAAGCTTGGGAGAAACCACCTCAAGCACACAGTCAATGCAATTAAATCAGCTTCCTTCATTGTTACTGATGTAACACTATGCTGCTGTATAAACAGAACAAATACTGCTGTAATACATGCATTTTTATTTGTATTTAATTTTTATAAAGTCGTCAACATGGATTAAGCAAGGTTGTGTGTGTGTGTGTTTGTTTGTAGGCTGATTTGTGGGTTTGGATCGTATGGTATGCCTGTGTCTGGGCCATTGAGTGTTTGGAATGTACGGAATGTTTCTGCAGAGAAATGAGAAATCCCCTGTTGGCTGGAAAACTCTAAAATCCCCTCAGAAAACCCTGAGATCCCCTTAGAAAACCCTAAACTCCCCTCTGAAAACCATGAAATCCCACAGGAAACCCTACAATCAGCCTGAATTTGCCCAGAATACCCCAAAATGAGCCAGTAAACCCTAAAATAACAAGAAAATACCTTAGAAAACCATCTGTTTGTGGGCACCGAGAGCCAAACCCAAAGGAATATAGGAATACCATTGACTGCCTGATTTCTCCATAGCTGTAGGCTAAACAATGGATTGGATTGGATTGTAGGAATTGTAAAATTTGGGGTAAACAGGTCCCGATTTTTGAGACTGAATCATGAAAATCACATTTGAGGAATCATGAGAGCATGGTGGAAGGAGTGTCTCAATTATCTAAGGTTTTGTGGCTTGCTAAGCCTGAGCTGGCAGTTAATAATTACTGGATAATTGCCTATCAATACAAATAGTGCGGCTAAACAATCAAATAGTGCTTGGTTAAACTGTTATATCCTGTGTAGAGTGAAAGCACAAGCACCTTCTGGAACCTTACTATTGAAATAAGTCACTCAGACTCTATAAGCCTACAATCAGGTGCACTTAGTGTTCCTTCATCTCAGGTTCTAGCATTTTATTTATCCATTAAATAAATAGTTTTCTGTAAAACAAGGAATAAAGGCTGTTGAGGCTGGATGTGTCGATCTGTCTTTTACATGTATATCTTTATATGTATGTATATCTGGTTCTTTACAACATATTGGACTTTTTAATCAGTTAAGCCTTTGAAAATGAATGATTAAATGGTCATTACAGCTACACTTGATGCCTCACTTCATCAAGCTCATCGAGGCTTGGCCTCTTCTTCTGTAGCAAGTTTCTTCCTTTGGATCTCAAAGGAATTTTCAAAAATTAGGGAGCATCAAAAAAAGGGTAAAAACTATGAGCTAGCTACGTAGATCACCATAACACCAGGCTAGCAAAGAAGAATGAATAGCAGCACAAGCAGCCATTTAAATAGATGTTACAATTAGTTAGCCAGTTAAATTAGCTGGTTTCAGGAATGTAAACTTTGAGAAACATCTGTTTATTGTCTTGACTCAAGAAACTGAAAAACTACCAGCCTTGATACATAAAGCATCATTTAAAATGTTCAGATGACTTTGGCTGTTTCATGAAACTTGTTTCATGAAGTTGCAACTGTTGCAGCTGAGTTTCTTGTGAGTTGCAGGACGTGATAAAAGGTTTTTATATTTAATGGGAAATAGGTGATGCATTGTCTAATGTTGATGACTATGTCCAGGTTTTAACCAATCCACTGTTCACTTAGGATGTACTGTTAAATCTCTCTCTCTCTCTCTCTCTCTCTCTCTCTCTCTCTCTCTCTCAGTGTAAACATCTGGAGCTGAGGCTGGAAGAGGAGTGTCTCTTCACTGAATATGAGCAGATTCCTAAAAAGAGGGCGGAGTGTAACCTCACTACTGCCATGATGCCCGAGAACGCAGAGCGGAACCGCTTCCGAGATGTTGTCCCATACGAGGAGAACCGTGTGGAGCTGGTTCCAAACAAAGAGAACAACACAGGCTACATTAACGCTTCGCACATCAAGGTGGGTCCTGCTTTAACATCTAGAGCAGTTCTCCAGTGTTGGGCTTTACTCTAGAGTGACCATTTGAGCGATTGTTGATGTATTATTCAGTTATTGACGTATGACTTCTACAGAGTTGACCAATGATGACGTTCAGGCTCAAAAACAAATAAACAAACAAATCTAGAAAAAAAAATGTTCTACAGAAGATCTAAAGCTTCAAGAACCGCTGCTGTGTCCAAAGCTCTTTTGAGAGTGTGCTCCATTCTCTCCTTTCTTCTTGTAGCACTAACCCTCTTAGCTATTAGCTGCAGGGCTAAGGAGAGGAGTATACTTGCTGCAGTTTGCCCACCTACTTCAAAGCTGTTCTGCTGCTTTTTGTTTCAAAAGCAGATATTTATTGGTCAGTTATAATGAAAGCTGCATTTTGTTTCTACAGAATATCAGAAATGTTGACACCGTCACTTGATTTACTAAATACACCCTCATAAATGAATTGATATACACTGATCAGGCAAAACATTTTGACCAGCTCCTTGTTTTTACGTTCATTGCCCATTTTATCAGCTCCTACCCTGTTCTTCAGTGGTCAGGACCCCCATGGACCCTCACAGAGCAGGTACTATTTGGGTGGTGGATCATTCTCAGCGCTGCAGTAACACTGACATGGTGGTGGTGTGTTAGTGTGTTGTGGTGGTCTGAGTGGATCAGACACAGCAGTGCTGCTGGAGTTTTTAAACACTGTGTCCACTCACTGTCCACTCTATTAGACACTCCTAACTTGTCAGTCCGGATGTAAAGTCAGAGACGATAGCTCATCTGCTGCTGCATAGTTTGTGTTGGTCATCCTCTAGTCCTTCATCAGTGGTCACAGGATTCTGCCCACAGGACGCTGTTGGCTGGATATCTTTGGTGGGTGGACTATTCTCAGTCCAGCAGTGACACTGAGGTGTTTAAAAACTCCAGCAGCACTGCTGTGTCTGATCCACTCAGACCAGCGCAACACACACTAACACACCACCACCATGTCAGTGTTACTGCAGTGCTGAGAATGATCCACCACCCAAATAGTACCTGCTCTGTGAGGGTCCATGGGGGTCCTGACCACTGAAGAACAGGGTAAAAGGGGGCTAACAAAGTATGCAGAGAAACAGATGGACTACAGTCTGTAATTGTAGAGCTACAAAGTGCACCTATATAGTAAGTGGAGCTGATAAAATGGACAATGAGCGTAGAAGCAATGAGGTGGTCATAATGTTATGCCTGATCGGTGTACTGATATATTATTACTTAAGACAATAATAATAGAGTGGTATGTATACCACCATTGAAGCTGGTTTGAAGCTGTGCACTGAACTATAAAGTGAAGAGGTCGTTCTACTACTGTGGTGACAAATGGGCTATGAATGTTAATATGTAACTTAATTCAAGTTTAACTATGGTCTGTTACATTTAATAACATCAGTAAAGTTGTAACACCACTAACCAATATAGTCCACTGACTACGCGTCTTGCCAAATAGTGAACCCACATTCATCTATACCATTAAACCTCAGATTTTTCTGGTTATTTACAGTGGTGTGCAAAAGTCAAATGACATGTTTTGTTGATTGTCTAAGTAAAAGTAAGTGAAGACACCCTCTACAGAGACACACTTCTGCACATTCTAATGCATATTTGCTGCTGAATTTAACATAAATCCTAAAATGTGGCCTGGGCAAAAGTTATGGTACACTTTATATTATATATCATTTGGTAAACTAATAATTCTTTGTCATTTGTTGAACTCAAACTCAACAAATAAATAGAAATTGTGCACTAAAATTCATAGAACAATGCCCTATTTAAGTGTGATGCTTTATTATTTTCACTTAGGAAATCAACAGAACAAAAAAGGTTATTTGACTGGGGGTGCCCTAACTTTTGCACACGAATGTATCTTTCTTTGTCCTTTCCATCAGTCAGCATTAAACCTGTCCCATTTGCATATTCGTCACATGTAACACCTCAATTTTCATGTATGAGATATAGCTGCTTATTAGTGATTATAGGGTGTTTATGACCTAATAAATTACCATTAATAACAAACCATTCATAAATGCTTTATAAGTGTAGCCTTACTGTGAAGTGATACCCTTTCTTCCCTTGAGATATCCATACAAGTAATACAAGTAATTTTTCTTCTTTGTTTTTTTTTTTTGAAAGGCATTGCATGTTTTCTCACAAAAATCTTGAGACAAAGTAAAATTACATATTTAAAATTATTATGTGAAATAATATTTACTTCACATTAAAATAACAATAAAAAAACGTGACATGCTGTTTTTCCTGCACAGCATAACTAAAAATCACTAAAAAAGGAAGACTTAGGCCCAATCCCATTTCACCCCTCGCCCCTACCACTTAGCCCTTAGCCCTCTGTTTTGCGTGTTCATGTCTAGGGTTAGGGTGTCCCAATTTTTGTTGAGATAGAGGGGGAGGGTGAAGTGTTAGGACTACATGGCCCTCCAAACGGAGGTTTTTCAGAGGCTCGCTCCAAACAGAGTGTTACGAGAAAAAAAAGAGAAACCAGAAAGATGGCTGCGCGAGCGACCAAGAAACCCACAAATGTGAGAATTTTCTTCGTTAAAAAATTACGATAATCATTGTATTGTCTTAGTTTAATGACGTTTCAATGTATTATGGTCGCTTTCTTCATAACAAGCATAAAAAATCGCTAATAGCATGCTAATGTTTTGGTAGCTAGCTAGCTAACTTTCCTGTTCCACCTTAAATAGTCCAGCCGTTCTGACGCCTGAAGCGCCAGAATGTAACTGCTGCAGAGAAACCGGCTCTGACTGCTGCACCATTTAAGGTGGAACAGGAAAATTCGAACAAGAAGCTGGTGAATATCTGACTTCAGCTTCATATCACCAAAGAATTAGCAGTGGGCTATAATAAATAATTGTCTTATACCCCTCTTTCAAAGAATATGATTTTCATGATTTTCATTGGGGATTTCAGCCACTACCCATTGTAACTCCGTTCCAAGGGGTTAGGGTGACACTCGAAAACAAGGAGTAGGGGTAAAAAGAAGAAATGGGCTTGGGCCTTAGTGTCTGTATTATTGTTATATTATTGTTTCATTGGTTAATCTGTGAACAGAACAGAGACACACATCATTTTTCTGTAGTTTGTTTTTATTTTGAGCTCAGTTTCACACCATTTGCCACCACAAAGGTATATTGACCCAAAGTAATTATTGGATGTAAGATGAGATGATGCTGCCATCTAGTGGATGATGACTTAATCATCCTCCTGTTTGTGTTTGTGTGTGTGTACGTGTGTAGATGATGATCAGAGGGGAGGAGTGGCACTACATTGCCACGCAAGGGCCTCTTCCCAACACTTCCCACGATTTCTGGCAGATGGTCTGGGAGCAAGGGGTCAATGTCATTGCCATGGTTACAGCAGAGGAGGTATGGTCAATGAGAGTATGTGTGTGTGTGTGTGTGTGGTACTCGTGTATATACTGCATTTGCATTTTTACTTTAAGAATTCAATAAAGCAGCCATTTTTACCTGATAATTATATGTATATGTTTATTCTGTATTAAATATGGGCAGCACAGTGGCACAGTGGGTAGCGCTGTTGCCTCACAGCGAGAATGGCCTGGGTTCGATTCCCGGCCAGCGACCAGGGTCGTGTCTGTGTGGAGTTTGCATGTTCTCCCCGTGTCTGGGTGGGTTTCATCCGGGTACTCTGGTTTCCGCCCACAGTCCAAAGACATGCAGTTAAGCTAATTGGACACGCTAAATTGCCCCTAGGTGTGAGTGAATGTGTATGTCTGTCTGTCTGCCCTGCGATGGACTGGCAACCTGTCCAGGGTGTATCCAGCCTTGCGCCCAACGACAGCTGGGATAGGCTCCAGCACCCCACCGCGACCCAGAAGGATAAGCGGTTTAGATGTATGTATGTATTAAATATTGTAATGCAAGTTTGATGATATTCTTTTCTGATACCTCTCTTTGCAGGAGGGAGGTCGTTCTAAGAGTCACAGGTACTGGCCTAAATTGGGCTCCAAACACAACTCTGCCACACATGGCAAGTTCAAGGTGACCACCAAGTTCCGCACAGACTCGGGTTGCTATGCAACAACAGGGTTAAAGGTCAAGCACCTATTGTCCGGTCAGGAGCGGACTGTGTGGCATCTGCAGTACACCGACTGGCCCGAACATGGCTGCCCAGAATATGTTCAGGGCTTCCTTTGTGAGTTTGTTTATTTATTTGTTTATATGTTTGTTTGACATGGATGTTTAGTTACTGTCGCATAATTAGCTAATAAAACTGAATTTTGTCTGCAATTCCTTAGCAATTAATAAGAAGCTGGCAAATTGACAAAGGAATACTTTTGTTAATAATTATAAAATTGTATTAATTAACACAATTTGTAAAATATTGTGAATTAGTTGTAGCTGAAATGTGGAACTAAATTCATTTTATTCAAACTATTTTTTCAATATTAGTGTTTCTTACTACATCATTGGTTGATAAGGCTTGATACTGGGCTTAAATACATTTATATTAACAATAATCTGCATCTAGATTGGTGGTCCGTGTCCAACAGTAACCTGTTCTGACCACTCTTCCTTGGTTTCTTCACCTCAGCATACCTGGAGGAGATTCAGTCAGTGCGTCGGCACACTAACAGCATGCTGGACACGTCGAAGAGTCCAAACCCGCCGGTGGTTGTCCACTGCAGTGCAGGCGTTGGCCGCACCGGTGTGGTCATTCTCACTGAACTCATGATCAGCTGCCTGGAGCACAATGAGGTAATATCACCGTCCACCACTAGGGACACTATCGGTTTAGCTTTCACTTTCGTTCCAACATCATCCATCTGCAGACCGAGAGGGCGAGCAGCAGTCCTAGGTCTAGTTCTAGTCATGGGGCCAGACGTGAATACATTGGGTCAGTTAGATCAAGGCTGACCTAATGAGAATTGCAGCACATTTGCAACATCTTAGCAACCACCTGGGATTGCATAGCAGTTGCCTAGCAACATCTTAGCAACCACCTGGGATACAAAAGCAACATCTTAGCAACCACTTGGGAAACAATAGCAACTCCTTAGCAACCATCTGGGATTGCATAGCAATTGCCTGGCAACGTCTTAGCAACCACCTAGGATTGCATAGCAATGCCTTAGCAACATCTTAGCAACCACCTGGGATACAAAACCAACATTTTAGCAACCACCTGGGATTGTATAGCAGTTGCCGAGCAACATCTTAGGAACCACTTGGGTTACAAAAGCAACATTTTAGCAACCACCTGGGATTGCATAGTAATGGCCTAGCAACATCTTAGGAACCACCTGGGATAACATAGCAACACCTTAACATCCACCTAGGATTGCATAGCAATGCCTTAGCAACATCTTAGCAACCACCTGGGATACAAAAGTAACACCTTAGCAACCATTTGTGATAACATAGCAACCAACTAGGATTTCACAGCAATTATTTATTATCTCTCTCTCTCTCTCTCTGTATCTCTCTCTGTCTCTCTCTCTGTATCTCTCTCTGTCTCTCTCTCTCTCTCAGAGAGTGGAGGTTCCTGTAATGCTGGGCCGGTTGAGGCAGCAGAGAATGCTGATGGTCCAGACGGTCTCTCAGTACAAGTTTGTGTATCAAGTTCTGATCCAGTTCCTCAAGAGCTCCAGACTCATCTGAGTCAGACCGCGCGTGAGTGTGTACCTAAGTGTGTGTATGTGTGACGTTCAGGTGCCCCATCCCGATCCAGGTGCTACTGCTGCGGTCATCTGCCCGCCATTGCCTCTGTCTGGACACCCTGGCCAAACTTTGGCATAAACATTCATAGTTGGCACCTGGAAAAAAGGCCCGGCTAACCGAACTGATACAGCCATTATGGAAAAGCATCCCTAAACAAAGTCCAACCACTATAAACAGCCGGGCATCAAGCTGAGATACTTCGGAAAAACAGAGTTGAACTCTTCCAGTTGTTGATGTTATGCTGTTCTTTAAAATAGGGAGTTACATATGGACGATCTTGCTTTGTGAAAATCAAATCAAATCAAAGCAAAGCAAGAGAACCTGAAGAGGCATTTTTCTAATTTAATACAGAACTTTTTAAAAAATTGCCTGAATGAAAGCATCTTGAACATTTCACGTGTGATTTTCTTAATAATCAAACATGTAAACTGTAGTGAAAAAGCAGAAGTGTACATTTATTTGAATTCTGCATATTTCAGAAAGCCTTTAAGGTCCATCATTGTGTCAGCACAATGAAAAATCTTTGTATCGTTCATTTTAATCCAGTGTTATTTATTTTTTTTTATTTTTGGCAAAATTTCAGGTAAATTTATATATATTGGGAGAATATTCAAACATAATTTACAACATTGGCGGCACAATGATGGACTTCGTTAAAAAGCGTAAGAATAATATGAACGAGATAATCAGATGTAACCGCTGTTATAAACAGCAGAAGGCAGAGGTCGTTGTAACATCACACTGTGTGATTTATTCTATTTCTGAGGCAGTTTTGTGGAATTTGCAACACGTAGAAGTAGCCCGACCAATTCAGGGTCCACTGAAACTGCCTGTGATTGAGATGTGTTACTAAAGGGGAATTCCACCAAAATTTCAAAGTTGTCAAAATTTCTGCAAAGTCATTCAAAGTGGTTTGACGTGAAGTGCTCCGCTGACCGTCACATTTGTTCACCATGGTGGTGATGGGAACCAGCTGTCTAAAGAGTTTAATACCTCTAAAAGCTCCCTCACAGAGAGTTATTACAGGAAATGATTATGAATATTTTGTTTGATGCTTGAATCATCGTTTCGCAATAGTTTTGAAAAGGTTTTGTCCTAAAACACATGCAAGATTAGATTAGATTAGATTCAACTTTATTGTCATTGTGCAGAGTACAGGTACAGGGCCAGTGAAACGCAGTTAGCATCTAATCAGAAGTGCCAAATACAGTATTATGTAAATATAAAGTGCAGGAAAGTAACCGTGGTAAGCAAACCCGTGGTTAAAATATGTACAATTAATGACAGTATCTATGTTTAATAGCAGTCATTTTGTATAGTAAATAAAATGGCTATATTTGCATTGTAGACATCATAATCATTGCCACTGCAAAGAAACATTTTCACACCAAACCACTCTAAATGACTTATTTACATTGACTTTTCTCATTTCATTGGTTGAATTTTGCTGAAATTTTGAAACATCATTGGAATTCCCCTTTAAGACTAAACCCTTACCTTTGTCCTTTCTGGAATGTCCAGATGTAACTGAACAAACAGTATATTCAAGCTGTACATAGCCGTTCATGCAAGCATTTCGATATTTAATGCTTTAATTTGTTGTAATTTTCACTTTAATTTATTATTCTCCATTTGTGTGTGTCTCTCTCTCGGTCTCTCTTTTGTCTCTCTGTGTTCAGTAATGATAAAAAAAAATTATAATAATTTTTATACACAGAGGCCAAAGCGTAGGATGTGTTAGACTTAATGACTTTTCATTCCATTGTACATTTAATTTTAAGCTACCCCAGTTATAGAAAATGTTCTGTGTTTTTCAGCCTGATCTGCCACTTATGTTGTGTACAGTCACTTTACCACACATTTTACTGCAGGGTAGAGCGGGGATGGTTGGCACAGGTGTCACTCTGTGCCATATATTTCAGGCTTACCATACAGGATAAGCTAACTAGCAGCAAATCTTCAAACATCTAAGCTAAAAATACAGACATTTTCAGGTGTTATTGGGATGGTTGGCAACTTTAAAAAGCTTTAAAGCTACAGTTTCATAAAACAAGGCAACAAATCTGAACTTTATATTTAAACCAAACCACAAATGTAAACCAAATAACGTATTTTTTTTTTTTTTATCAGTTAAATAATGTTTCATTTATTTTATTATTGGCTTGAACTGCATAAAAGGACAGTAAGAACAGCAACTAAACCACTTTACCCATTTAAAACCTTTCCTCTTTTGTAAGTCTATATTAAAGTGCTACAGTTCATTATACACAATATTGTTTTTTTCTATTTAATGAATGAAACATTGTCTTGTTAAAATGAAACGTAAGTTGAAATACAACTGAAGTTTTAAAAATGTTTCAGATGAAAAAAGGAGTAAAATTTAGATGTAAGAACAGATTTATTGTAAGTTTAATGTACACAGTGATGTAGTACAGAACTGTCAAGTTGTGTTACACTCTTCAAGGGTTCTTTTGCAAAGACAGTGGTTCTGTGTAGAACCAAGAACACTCAAAGAACCAGTTGCATGCCTAAATGGCTCTTTGAATGGTGAAATTGTTCTTTGGATTGATGCTGGATGTGTTGCATGTAAATCTTTTTGTATATAGAACCAAAAAAAGGTTATTATTGTTACAAGCTTGGCATCAAAACAATATCAGAACCCTTTTTGGTACTATAGAGCCATATATAACACACTCTTCATCCATCTGAAGAACCATTTCACTGTGCCAATGCTTTAAGCATGCAAATGGTTCTTTGAGTGTTCGTGGTTCTATATGTCTACTAAAGAACCCTTAACAAACCCTTGAGAGTGTAGCTATTTATTATGTGTGCAGTGTGTAATATCAATTATTGTATGTTTGACAAGTCTGACAAGGCTGAAATATGTGCCAACCAAAATCCATCAGGACACCACCCTTTATACACTTCATATTCACTAGCTAGCATTATGTATCATTGGCTTTTAAATCATGTATCAAACTCTAAGTGATTGCCATTTCTACTACGTAAAAATAATATATTTTCAATATCTTTAAAGCATTTCTGTATGTTTTTGCTCAGGGAGACATTATTTTGCTCTTTCAACAGAAAAGAATCAAAACGTTACCCCTAGCTTAACAAGTAATGAATCTTGGTCAAGAGGGCAATCATTTTTATGTTACATCTTTGTTAGAGTGCCCCCTACAGACCCATAAATGAACACTGTGCCAACCCTAGTCTCCCCTATTTAGAAAAGAAAACAAGAGCTTTTGATTTAAACCACACTTACAATGGAAGCCAGAGAGACACTGCTTCAGCATCTGCCCATTGACTCCTATTATAAGTGTGTTTTGAATCTATGCATTTTCTTTACAGAGTACCTTGTTTGAAATGATTGTCTGTGGTAACTGACCGTCTGCTACTGATGCGGCAGATAGAGATCAGGTTGAAAAACGTTGGAGTGTTCCTTTAAGAGCATATCGCTGCTGTCAGAAGAAAACCTCATATCTCCATTTTTGTTGTTTTTCAGTTATCATAATTTGAAAATGCCTGTTGTCGTTTATATTATGTGTAAATGTCATGATGAACGGACCAAAAGAAACGGACGAAAATGACTTGGAAAGACGTCTGGTCCCATTGACTTACATTAAAAGTAAAGTATGTTTTTTCCTTCTCCTGTAAAGTTTTGGAGATACGGGGTTTTCTTCCGACAACAGCGATATGCAGCTCTTCCTAAGCTACTTCACTTTTACTGTCATGAACTATGTTTGTTCCTAAGGAGTACACGGCACCCTGTAGTCAGCTTTTTTTTTTTTTTAATATTTCAAAACAATGAATGGACCACTAGTATATGAAAAGCATTTGTCCCTTTATTCCATACTGTGGTCACTTTTGTAGCATGGTACAGTAGCTAAGAAAGGACAGGAAATGGGATGATATTAAAAGGCCAGTTGTTTGAATGGAAGGCCAGAGATGTTCCCAGTTGATGTGCTCAGTATGCTCCAGTGTCTGAATGTGCACAGAGGTGAGCTACAGTGTGCACTTACTCTCAGATCAAATCAGTCTATGAGCTCTGATCAGTTCTAATTCAGAAGCCCCTGAAGGTTCATCAGTTCAGTCAGCTGTGTTGCATTAAGAGTGTCAAACAGTTCAAATCTGCTCAGTGTTATCGCTGTTACTCGTTTGTAGTACGTGTAAAGGCCACTTCGTCATGTCATTGGAAAGGAGTTCACCAAGTGCCCGGAATTTGATGGAGACATTTCTGTTGATGATAATGACAGTAAGCTAGCAAGCAAAACATTCATTTGTGGGCAGTTAAATTCAATTATATTCAATTTACTAAAGAAATAGTGTACTGTATGTTTTACTGTACATTTTACTGGCCTTTTTTTTACAATGTGTAGCATTTCTCTTGAACATTCTTTGGGTCTGAAGCGTATGAATTATGGCTGACAGCAGGCCATGAAGGACACTGTAGTAGCGTCCTTGAAAACTGTCAGAATGCTGGCTGCATTTCTTGGCTATGTTTGACAGATGCCTCTGACTGGAACAGTCTTCAGTGACGTTGTGGTCTAGAAATGCAGCCCACCTGGACTGCAGCCTAGCATTTAGAAAACAGCTAAAAAGCGTGATCTTTTCCTGCTAAATGAGAGCAAAGGTCCAATCCAGACTTTGAGTCCAGCTTCCGGTCCTAGATTTTGTAATTAATGGTCTACACTTCAAACATTTTCATGTTTTCTCTGTGATCCATGTATGGCGTTTGTGTGGGTTAATGTGCCAAAAACAGACATTATTCATTTTTACATGCCCACATTCCAACCTCTGTTTATGCCCTTAGAACAGAGGTATTCCAGCGTTTTTTCTCAGGAGGCCCCCTTGCCAGTTTTTTGAGAACTTGGGGCCCTAACTAAAACAAAATTGCCAATACACAAACTACTACAGCAAATGTCTTAAGGAAATCAGGTCAAATCATCCGATTTATCTAGAACTTTTATTGTCTATTATTAATTGGTGAATAAAATAAAATGTAAAAGCAGCACATGACAATAAGAGCTTAATAAAAAAATGACAGTTTCTATTTAATTTGTGCAATTTTCTATCTCAACTCTCATGTATTGTACCTCACTCAAAAAGCAGTCCAGGCTGGACACTGGTAGAATCTAAGTGTGAGTGGACTGTATATGGACTGTATGGAATGGAGAAAGTTTTAAAGGTTTTTTTCCATGTTTACATACTGAATCAAACCCTTTACTTCTGTGAAGTGAGCAAAAGTCAGCTTTCCATGAGCCCTTTAACAACAATCAATGTAGTTACAAAATCCAGGACCGGATTGTGGATACAAAGTGTAGAGTTGAAGACCTCTGTACTAGAGTACAGCACTGCCGGCATCTTTGGTCAAACTAGATGAGCAAGAAACGTGTGTTTGTTGGTGCTAAATTAATTTAATTGCAAAAAAAAATAAAGAATAATCAGTTTTCACCTGTTTCACACAACCTATCTAAGAAAGTAAGGCGTTCAGTGTAAACACTAAATGTGTAGCACTATAGATCATAACTCAAGACTGATGATTTGCCATTATGGCAGTGATACTGCCACTGTATGCTAATGCTAATGCTAATTATGTCTCCTCTGTGGCCCACAGTTTATACAGGCCATCTAAACGGGCATTCTGATCGGCACACCAGCACCATTCTGAGTCGTCTGCTTTGTTAGATGACCAAATCATGTAGCCATTACATTTGTAATCATTCAGAGCTGTTTATAGATAATCTAAGTGGACCATATTCATGTGTGGACAAAGCCAGTTCTGCCGATAGCTTGTCCAGTGAAGTTAAACTGATGAGAGCATTGAAAGCAGTGCATTTTTATTTTCTTTTTCCTTTCTTCATTTTTTTGTTTGTGTAAAAATCCTGTGCAAAGGGGGTCAAAGTGACTCCCTTGAGCCGCATTCCAAATAACTATACGTTCCCTTTGCAGTGCATTAGTTAAGTGCCCTACTTAGTCAGCCAGTGTATTAGTGCCTTACTGACCCTAAACTCTTTAATATAAAAGTGCAGAAAGGGTTCTTTGGAGCGAAATCATAGAAGAAACACATTTGGATTCCTTAAAGAACCTCTCAGTGGATGGTTCTTTAAAGGAATGTTCTGGTGTATTTCAGTCTAAGGCTTGTCTGCCTTATCTAAAGCGTACAGTTCATGACCACAGACAGTAATTTCAACACATTTCCCTGTTCTTAGAAAACAGCAGGAATAATGCTGACTCAGAGTCAGTTTCCTGCTGGTTTACTAAGTCACCTGTCTGTGATAAGTGACTAAACACCACAGATGTGGTGGATAATGGTTGAAAAATGGAAGAACTATACATTCAAAGGTTCTTTCAGGAGCCAAAAATAGTTCTTCTACGGCATCACTCCAAAGAACCCTTTGGGCACCTGAATCTATAAGAGTGTACTGAAGTTCTGGATCGACCCACTCTGCTCCTACATGGATTTCACCCCACAGTGAAATCAGATCTGAAGGCTGAACCAATCAAAATCTCTCAGAACCAAAGAGTGGGTTCTTCCATGCTTCTGAGTCGATATATTTCAGATTCTCTTTTTATAAGGATTTTATAATATGCTAAGATGAAAATGATGCAAACTAAGCTCTGTCTGTGTAGTATTTTGCATTGCATTACAGACAAGCTTAATTTGATATGAATGTTTGTTATATGTTTTGACTTGGTACCTTTAAATACCATAAATAAAAGAAAACTATGCATGCTTTTTATATTTACTTGTATATAAGTATATTCATGGACACTATAAGCTTCTGCTAGCTGTGTATTCGTAATAAGTGTGTTTTTATGGCAGTGTTTCTATGATGACAGTATTTTTGCTATGTGTGGCATTCCATTCCTTATCTGCAGGTATCTGCCTTTCTCGCATTCCTTCGTGTTATTAAATACCAAATTCCATTTCCAACCTTCTACTTAATTGTGTACATACCTTCTGTATATGCTTTGCCAGTGTATTGTCTTCTTTTTTTCCAAACAACTATGTACGAAACTGTCACACTTGCCTATTATGCAATAAAGCATTATTTTCTCAATACTGTGTTATTTTCTTGGTGCTATATATGGCAGTTTTCTGCTAATTTTACTGCATTTATTTGCTAATAAATAAAATATTAAATTTGCCAAAACTTTTGCCACATTTTGTTTTGTTTTGTAAATTCAACAAATAAACAATAAACATGCATTGTTTTCTCTATAGACGATGTGTTAACTTGTTTTTACGTAAAAAATCAACAACGCATCATTTGACCAAGGGTGTCAAAACTTTTTTCCATACTAATGTCCAGCAGAGGACAGCTTTACATCAACAAGTCCCACCTCTTGGATGTTGCCCTTTATTGTTAAAACTCAGGTCTTTTGTTGGCAAATGCATTAAAGCGATAGTTCTGCAGAGGCTAATGTAGCTAACACCTAATGGAAAATGATACCCCACCAATTAGCATCGTGCATGCCTATATCACCTCACGCCTGCCTCAAACCATGTTGTTAAAAGGAAATTTCACCATTCATTTTTTCATTTTTACATTATTAATCTGCCAAGATGTAAACAGAGGGGTTTGGTGTGAAATGTTTTTTTGTTAACTCTTCTTCACAGTGGTGGTGGTAGGAACCAGAGGTCATGATGTCCACAACATGCATTGTTTTAAAGGGTGAGATGCCTCCCCAAAATTTCACCACCCCATTTAGATAAAAGATGTTGATTTTTAGATAAAAGATGTTGGTTTTTGTCTATTTTTTGGACAGCAGTCTGTATAGTAGACCTATAAGATAGGTAGACTTGATAAATAAACCAATAAGCTATAAGCATGTTGTACTGCTGCTCAATTACTGTTGCTGTAGTGACTCCAGGAACACATGGGCTTCAGGTTCTTTGAGTTTTAATGATTTACTGAGGCAGCTGGGAATCAACTCAAAAGCAAAGGAGAAGTGTGTGTTTCTCTATGAGTCACTATGTCATTCAACAGAAAAGCTTATCCTTTTACCACTATAGAACACCTCTGCTGACCTCTACTGGCCGATTAGTGAACCACCGTATTCCTACCATACCACAAGAAGCTGAAGTCGGCTTCGTATTCACTCGCTTCTTATTTTACTTTTTTCGGTACACCTTAAGTAGTGTAGCAGTTACCTTAATGAACAAACTCGACTCCAAGCATTTCGACTCTTAGAATCATTGGCCAGGAGTCGACTCCGACTCCCAGACGTGTTGGAGCCGAAGAATCGATTCTTTCGGAATCGACTCCCATTCACTACAGTCTACCATTTAACGGGACGATAGAGGACGAGAGACTGAAACTTTCTGTGGAGGGAAACCACGACTGAGTTGAAATACAAGCTATGTTTTCCTCACAGAGTACCAAAACCGGCAGTTGTATCATGTGTTGCCTTCTTGTCCAGCCTAGAAATATGGACATTTCTCCATTCATCTCCTCTGAGGTAAACTATGCCTGTATAGTTAGCTATGGGGCGTGACGACGCTGACAGCTACTTTGACTAACAGTATTTGCATTTAGCTGCCTGGCTAGCTACAATGTCTAACTAACTGGTGTTAATGTTAATAATTGTGTCAGTTTGGGCTGTTATACGTTAGTGATAGTGATAGTAGTGAACAGTGAGCTGGAATGAACGTTGCAAACGTGTTGCTTTTACTCGGTTAGCTAACCTATCTTGCTTGCTAATGCGCCCACTAGCGGTTACTTTACCTTGATTAGCTAGCTAGCTAGCTAGCTCATTGCTAGTGTGCTCACTGGCTAGTTAAAATGAGCCTTTTCTGTTTGAATTTGAGCGGCCAAATCTTGCTGTGTGTAACTTTGAGCGTAAAAGTAGTAGTTTAAGAACCTGATAATTTTGCAGTTTATCAATATCACCAATTAAAATGGAAAATAATGATGAACATGAAAAATGCACCCTCATAAATCCTTACAGTAAAAAGATGGGAGGATTCAGTTTGAACACTGTGAGTGTGTAATTATTAAAGGTGAATTGAAATCTTTAGACATAGATCTGTGGCAGATCTTCGGTCCCTCTACTGAGCGGTAAGTATAAACAGACTATCTGTTTTTAAGGCCGATTGATTTTCTTGAATGTTAGCCCTCCAGCTGGTCACTCAGCGCTGACAGCACTGACAGGTGACAGAGCGAGAGGAGAGAGGAAGCATCAAGGTGTCTTTGGCGTACTGGGGAAATTCATGTTGGTCATATACTGCGTACTACTTTTGGGAACAAGTGGCGACTTTTACGCAAGCAGTATATAGTAGCCTTTTCTGACACAGCCATTGTCTAAAAGCCCCCTAAAGATGTCTAAAAGCCAGGTTGAAGAGAAATGTCTTAGCTACAGTTTGGTTTGAATGGTGTCATTAGAAATTAGACAATAAAACTGAGATCTTATTCACATATTCACATTTTATTATTTCCAGTTCTACTATCAGACAAGTATGCCAAAGAAAAAATAACAAACAGGTTATCAAATTATTTTGCAATATTAAAAGAATGTTTTCTGAGCAGAGTAAACAGTTTGAGAATGATAATTTCAGCCACAGTGCTGAGCAAAAATTAGCCATTCAACTTAAACATACTATTTATAGTCTATTATTTTTGCAAATTTTGAAATGTGTTGAAGAGGATTGCTTTTCAGTCACATTGTACATGGCTTCAACAATGCACTCTCGCACCAGCACTACCTATCAACTCGGATAGTTAATGTTTTCTAATTCAGGTTGACTTTAAGCTTTACTTTAACCAGCCGTCTGCTCGAACTTCTAAACATGCCAACATGATAACCTCCAGGCCACTTTGAGTCCACTCTACCACAGCTTGGTTGGTCAGACACTAGAAGGAGAGAGTCCAAAATGAATAGGCTCCTGAGCTGTTAAACGAAACTGTGAATTGTGAGTGATTAGTCCTTTTTAGACAAAAGTGTTTTATCAACACAGACCAGCATAAAATATTTCAGCACTTATATTTTAAAACAGTATTCTAAGTACATAATGTACTTTTAAGTCATCAGTTAGTGTAAACTTCTTTACTTTTCAGTGAGCTGAGCACTTCAACAAATGCAGAAATACAGAAAAAGCAAAGATGCTGGAAAGTTTTAAATGATTTTTGATTTTTGTAATATTTTCTTTTACTTTACAAAATCTGAGGAATTTTTGTCTGAAGCCTTAGAAGAATATTTAATTAATGTTTTTTTGTCATTTAGTTCTGTTCACGCTCGTTAAATGAGGATTCTCTTGCATGTTCCCTTTAGTGTTTAACTATTATGATTTTGGTATAGTGGTAGAAATAGGAAGTGGCCCCTTTAACTGACTGTGGTAGTGCGACAGTTTCACAAAGCAGAAACAGAGTACTTTGTTCCTCACTGCATTTGCTCCAATTTGCACTTTAATGGATAAAGGCCACTGAGCTTTTAGTTGTAAAATATTCATTGAGTGCTCTGCCCAATCACAACCTTCCACATGTAGCCACTCCCACTCTGCCGCTCCCTTATTTTAGAGTAAGCGGCACTGATCTCAGAGAGCTGCTGTCTCTCAGACTGTGAGTGCAGGAAAATGGCAGAGGCCAGTATTTCAGTAGGTCAGGACCAGTTCAGCTGTCCAGTCTGTCTGGATCTGCTGAAGGATCCAGTGACTGTTCCCTGTGGACACAGTTTCTGTATGGTGTGTATTAATGGCTGCTGGGATCAGGGTGATCAGAGGGGGGTCTACAGCTGCCCCCAGTGCAGAGAGACCTTCACTCCAAGGCCTGTTCTACGCAGAAACAACATGCTGGCTGAAGTGGTGGACGAAGTGAAGAAGAAACTCCAAACTGCTCCTCCTGCTCACTGTTACGCTGGACCTGGAGATGTGGAGTGTGATTTCTGCACTGGGAGACAACATAAAGCCACCAAGTCCTGTTTGGTGTGTCAGGCCTCTTTTTGTGAAACTCATCTTAAACCTCACTATAATGTTCCTGGCTTGAAAAAACACAAGCTGGTCGAAGCCTCCAAACAGCTACCAGTGAAGATCTGCTCTGAACATGATAAACTGATCGAGATCTACTGTCATACTGACCAGCAGTTTGTATGTTATTTGTGTACGATGGATGAACACATGGGCCACGATACGGTTGCAGTTGTAGCAGAAAGAAAAGACAAACAGGTGAGAAGTTTTACACTCACTTCATGCTGTTTGTATTTCTAATCTGTTACTTAATTACACATATGATCAGTTTATGGGATAATGATTTTGAAAATGTTTGCAATGTTGGGTCCAAAAGTGTTAAATAAACCTGACATTATTTAATGTAATAAACTAGTTGAACAGGTCAGCAAACCTTTGACCAGCCAACGCCCGTCTTTCAGCATATTTACAGCTTTGTTGTGCTCACATGTAGAACAAGAGTGAACTTGAACTCTTCAGATGTTGTCAATATGAACCAGAAAGTAAAAGAAATTTCTCCTCAGAATCAGCTGAAGGAGCTGCAGAGGAAATCTCAGCAGAGACTCCAGGAGAAAGAGAAGAAGCTGCAGGAGGTGAAACAGGCTGTGAAGACTCTTAAGGTGAGTACTGAGCAGAGATCTGCTGGAGCAGCTGTTTCACAGCTCAGTCAGACTCTCCTGCAGTCAGACAGTGAGGAGTCCAGTGTTGGACACTTAGAGATCCTACAGAGCCACAAAGTGGACAGTGAGTCATCTAGAGTCCCAGTGAGAGAGTGAATGATAGCTGGTGTGTAAATGGAGCTCCATCTTGTGTGTGTGTTGTAACAGAGCTCTGCACAGGCAGCAGTGGAGGACAGTGAGAGGATCTTTACTGAGCTGATCCGCTCCATTGAGAAAAAGCGCTCTGAGGTAACAGAGCTGATCAGAGCTCAGGAGGAGGCTGAACTGAGTCGACCTGAAGAACTCCTGGAGCAACTGCAGCGGGAGTTTGCTGATCTAAAGAGGAGAGACACTGAGCTGGAGCAGCTTTCACACACAGAGGATCACATCCATTTCCTCCAGGTAACCAGCACTGTCTGATCTACTGAAGGACCTGTTTCTCCGGCTAATTATTTCTAAAATAATTCTAAGGTTCATTATAGCAGCTGTAAACTCAGTTGCAAATAGCAAATATTAAATACAACTAAATAAATTGGATGTTGTGACTTGATCATTGTTAACTATTTATATCAGTAAAAATATACAATTCACCATAAATTAAACAATTTAAAGCCAGTAAAATGAATCTCTTTTATCAGAACTGTGGAACTGCAATGTAAACAACCCTACCACAGCAGGGTTAGAATTAGTATTTTAAAGATATGTACAATGACTCTATAAAAGTCTGATTATTACGTCTTGTGAATCACAGAATCTTTTAAAGGAGAATTGCGATGAATAAAGGAACCAAATATTTTTCCAACCCCTATAAAAAAGTAGCTAACCACAAAACATAAGGGTTGGGGAACCAGCCTTGTGACCGGAAGGTTGCCAGTTCAATCCCCTGTGTTGATAGGATATGATTAAAGTCCCCTTGAGCATGGCACCTAACCCCCCAACTGCTCCCCAGGCACTGTGGATATGGCTGCCCACCGTGCTCACTGCCCCCTAGTGTGTGTGTTTACTAGTGTGTATGTGGGTGTTGCACTGCACATATGGGTTAAATGCAGAGGTAAATTTCCCCGTTGTGGGATTAATAAAGGGTAACTTAAACTGAAACAAGGTGGCAGCCTCTTTAAGGCATTATAGTCTTATAACTTTATCTTACTGCATTACATTTCTTTCTCTCTGTAGAGATTCCAGTCTCTCTGTGTCTCTTCTGCATCTGAGGACTCACACAGCCTCACTCTCCTTCAACGTCTCTCATTTGACGGACTGAGGAAATCTCTCTCTGATCTGAAAGAGAGGCTAGAGGAATTCTGCAAGGAGGAATTCAGTAACATATCTTTGTATAATGAAAGGAGCTCTTCTGATGATGAACAAAGTCTTAGCAGTATGAGTGAGTCATAAAAGTTTTTGTTCTTATTGCTGCCTCTATTCATGATGCATATGATGCAATTTAATGTTTAAATGTTCACTTGTGGTCGTGATGCTAATAAAGCTAGAACTGACCCTCTCCTCAGCCTTAGAGAAGCTGCTCGATATTGTCCAAGGTTTGACAAAGTGTCCAGACTGAAATGCGCAGAGTAAACTAGCAATTTAAATTAAAGTTCTTCGAAATTGAATTTCTATTTGCCAAATGGTTTTGTGAATTTTCTGTTCCACCTTAAATGGTGCCAAAGTTAAATTCTGGTGCCTGTACAAGCTGTAGCATTTAAGGTGGAATAGATCATTAGATCATGAAGCTGGCAAATAGGAAGCCAAGATCAGCCACATTTAAAGATGAACTGTGACCATTCCTTCAAAAGGGTATGGTATCCCATTCACAGTGTGGTATGGTACATTTCTGTATAGTCTGCCATTTTCATTTCTCTTGCTCTGCTGTTGGTGTATATAGAGCCCAGCGCCCAGACTCTTTTAATACGAAGCAACTTGCATGCAGAATGTGGTTTAGCATTGTTTTGCTGAAATAATCAAGGCCTTCCCTAAAAAAGCTCTATGCTTAGTTCTTACTCAGAACAGAACCTAGCTCAAATAGCTTAGCCACGTCCTCTCGAAACTTCTACAAAAACACAAACACCAGGGGTACCTAGCCCTTCGGAATAAAAGTTCTTGCATGAGACAGAACATAGCAGTCCCTAACTAGCAGAATAGCCCAATATTTGCTAATACAAACCTTAAAATATCAGGCTATTCATTTATTTTTAACCAAATAAAACCCAGGCATATACTGACACCACATTACCCCACCTTCCTTTGTCCAAGAGCAGCGACCCCACTTCCGGCCTGTCCACTCTGTTGGAGGGAGGTCATAGTCGTCCTGCGTCCCTGCCCGAGATCTAGGGCATCCTGCTCAATCCTTCAGATTTGGGGCCTGGCAGGCCCAATACAACATCATGTGGCACTGGGTTTTAGTGCCCACCCGATACACCACATTTGACTTTCTTTCTATCACTAGACAGAGCCTCATCCAATCACTGTCCAGCTCGGGGCAATGGCCTTACCAGCAGTGCGGATTGAATACCTTTACAAGATTGAATACTCTCTTGGCCTTTAAACCACAGGTCATTGTTCTGCTTCTATCAAAAACCTGCCTGAGCCAGTTGCTCTCTGACCAACTGTTGGACCGCCATCTTCTGCTGTAGGGCCACCACCTAATCTGGAATGTAGTCTCCCAGTAGTTGATCGCCTGTGAATCTTGCATGGCCATGTGGCAGGCAAAGAGCAATAGGGGCAAGTGCTCATCCCAGTCGTACTGTTGCTGGTCCACCTGTGAGGCTGTGTTGGGAGCATACAGATAAACTGTTCCACTAGTCCATCACTCTGCAATCTCAAGGGTGTGGTTTGCATCTTGTGCACCCCAAGCCATAACAGAGCTTCTGGACAAGCCATGTGTTCAAAATCCAATCCTCGTAACTAATGGATCCTCTCCACGAGCCAGTCCGTGATGGTGGAGGCCTCCTGACTGGGGACTGCATAAACCACAGGGTACTTAGTAAAATAATCCATGGTTACCAGTTATCTTTCTCTATAATGGGGAATAGGCCCAGTATGTTTATGGCTATTCACTTCACGGGATCCCAGAAAGAAGCTGTTACATGGGTGTGCAGGACTGTTCCAGAGGGCACTTTTTGACCGTGCAGATGTTACACCTCTTACAGAACCAGTCTGCATTGCTCCCTAGCCAGAAGACTCTGGCTCCTAGCCACCTCTATGTCTTTGACCTACTCCTGCTGCCCCGTAGATGAGGTGCAACACCTGTTGGTGACGAGAGGTAGGGACTACTAGTTGCCACAACTCTTCGGCCCCACTGAGGGATCTCTGCTGCCTGTAGAGGGCCACCTCTCTCAAGTCCAGTGTCTTACACATCTCCCACGGCTGTTCAGAGGCTTTGTCATGCAGTGCCAGAGTGCACTCCACCACCAGAGCAATGCAGTCCACCCCCACAGCCTGACAGACTGAACTACAGTCTGTATATTCACCAAAAATTGCCTCCATTTCCTTCTATAAATGATTTCTTGCACATGATGATTGTTTGCACATGATTGTTCTCACAGCGAAAATGTGGCATTACTGTATTTGTCTTTGGCTCAATTTTTGCAAACTTTTGCAGACGATATGCTCACTCTACCAATCATTGTTGTCTCTGGCATTGGCAAGGTGACTGATTTGGTGTGTGTCAGCAGAAAGAAATTTTTGACAAATTTCAAAAGGATTAGTTTGTCTTCTGACTTAGTATTCTGAGTTTGACATTCCTTTGGTGTACACTGCACATGCATTCACCCCCATGCGGAGAATATGGTGAAGGATGGATTGAGCATAGTAGACTCTTTATACAGTAAGGCTAAGTACGCCCATTTTGTTTTGCACTTAGAACTGTGTAAATAAAGCAGTTTGGTTCAGTCACGCTGGTGTTTTTGTGTGCTGTCTCTAAACTATCATTGGATTTCCCAGTCTGTGTGCGTTGGCCCTTCTCTAGGCCGATGCATATAAAACAGACAGAAGGATAGAAGGAGAATTTCTTTTTAACAGGGCTTTATATTTCAAAGGTTTTGTAGTTCCAAGTTTTTTTTCTGAAAATTTATTATACACGTTATCACACTTCTTGTTTCTTTCTCCACAGAGCTACCACCAGATATGGCTGTGCACTCAAAGCTACAGAGCAGAGAAGATTTTCTGCAGTGTATGTAAAACTCACACAAACACACCCACACACACAACAACAACAAACACACACACTCTCACAGCAGCACAACAAATATGAATATTTTATATTTCATTGTTATTTAGGAAGTGTCAAAAATCGAAAACTACAGAAATGTGAAAGGAAGGAAACAGTTTCTAATCTGTTTCTGTTTAAATAAATAATTTCTGTGAATAAAAAATAAAACCATGAATATTTCACTGAAAATTTCACTGACAAAAACAAAAACTAACAAAAAAACTTTACTTGATTTAAATCTACCATGTGTTACATGTGCTTCCCCGGGCCCAAGGAGAACGCTGGTGGCAGGGTTCATAGCAGTTCATTTATTTTCCCTTCCAACAACTCAACAAATGAAACTGAAACAAACCAAATGCAAAGCTAAGCTGCCCACTTTTCAGTGGCTTCCAACTAGACTTTTCAGTCCTTTTGAAATTAAGCTGTTTAGCTCTTCAGTCAGCTGCTGCGTGTCCCTCTCTCCTCTCTCTGTTCCCTTTCTGCTGTCTTAAAGACACTCACGCTGCCAGCCATATCAGCATCAGCTGGCTCTAGACCAGGGAAAGAGAGCTTGTAGTTCCGCCTCCCCATCACCGCCCCCGCTCCGCCGCTCGTCTGCCTGGATTGAACATGAGGTGTAGTGAAGTGGCCTCGGCAGCAGAGTTCGGGATCCTGCCTTCATGCCTCTCGTGGCTGTCATTGTCTTCATCCCCTTTCTGGTGGCTGACATCCTACTCCTGCCATTACTTGCGTCCCTTGGCGGTGTTCAGCATACGTGCTCCTTCCCCTATTCACTGTCCTAGCGGGGCTTGATCCTCGCTCGGAGTTCGAGCCCCACCTGCCTGCAGGCTATTGCAGCCATCATTGGGGCCCGGGGGATAGGCACATGCCATATACCCCCATCACCCAACCCAAACCGCCCCTGCTCCGCAGCTCGTCCGCCTGGATCGAACGTGAGATGTAGTGAAGCGGCCTCGCTATGGACCAGGAGGCGAGGCCTGGGAGGGCAGAGTTTGGGATCATCGACATCATCCTCTCTGGTGGATGACATCTTCCTCCCGCCATCACTCGCGTCCCTTGGCAGGGTGTTCGGGATTCACGCTCCATCCCCCACTCACTCGCAATTCTCTCCGGGCCCCAGTGACGGCCACGAGAGCCGGCAGGACACCGCATGCCATAATGTGAAAGAAATATTATTACATCAACACAATTACAAATGTTAATTTTTCTTACTTTTGTCAGGTTTTGTTGATGTATTGTATTATTGTGGAACATATTAACACATTTAAATTAAGTAAATTAAAAGCAGCATTTTATTCAGTGTTCATAATTATTTCTTTTATTTTCTTTGTTAGATTTCTGTCGGCTGACTCTGGATCCCAACACAGTAAATCAGAACCTCAGTCTATCGGAGAAGAACAAAGTGGTGACATATGGAGGGAAAAACCAGTGTTACTCTAATCATACAGAGAGATTTGACTACTGGTATCAGGTGTTGAGTAAGGAGAGTGTGAGTGGACGCTGTTACTGGGAGGTTGAGTGGAGCAGTGAGGTTTGGGGATGTGTGTACATATCAGTCTCATATAAAAGGATCAGCAGGAAAGGATGGGGTGACGAGTGCAGGTTTGGACATAACAATCAGTCCTGGAGTCTGTGTTGTTCTCCTTCCTCTCTCTCTTTCTATCACAACAACATTCAGTCTGAGCTCTCAGCCTCATCATCCTCCAGAATAGGAGTGTATGTGGATCACAGTGCAGGAACTCTGTCCTTCTACAGCGTCTCTGACACAATGACCCTCCTACACACAGTCCACACCACATTCAGTCAGCCTCTCTATGCTGGATTTATGGTAAATTTGAGTTCTGTGAGGTTGTGTGATCGAAAATGATGCATAAGGTGATGTACACTGTGGTTATTGGGGGATAAAAAGTTAGCAATAACAACAATAAATTAAAAAGGTGAAAGGGAGGGTTTGGACATCATTGCCACAGTCTTTCTAGAGTGTGTTTGATTATCAAATCTGATTGAACCTCAAAGCTAAGATAAAGGCTTTTCAATAACAGCATGTACAGTAACTGATTACACTTTGAAGACCAAAAATTCTGCAGTGAAATCAAACACAGCGACAAACACACTCTTAAAAATACAGATTGTTAAAGTGCACTAGTAAATGCACATGATCAGTTTATTTAAAAAACTGGGGCTGTATTACAGAAACTTCCTATCTTTTTGTCTTAACTGACAGTTCAAGGTACGATTTTTTACAAATTCGTATTACAGAAGCAAATCTTATCTTAATTTAGAAATCTTATCTTACAGCATGTTATCTTAAGTTAGGAAATCTTGATTTTCTTGATGGGTCCTTTTCACAAAGAGTCGCGATTACTTCCAGTTTAAGCGTTAAAAGGGTAAAACTAACTTCTGCTCCACACAACTACTGCAGAAGTGATGACAAAATGTTGTAGTAGTGAACTATAATGCTCAAATACTGAGCTACAACAGACATATGTTAGTTTTCGTGCACTAACGTGACAAAACGTGAGAATAGGAAGTGAATGGAAGCACTGATTTAACTTAAACTGAGCTAAAATGCTGTGTATGTGGTGTAGCCCTGCTTAGTGCTGCTGCAGCTGCTCACATCAAGCAGTCTCTCTGGCTTTGCACAACACACCAGCGGTTTCTGTAATATTTCTGTTTTCAAAAGAAAGAAGAACTTTTATATATAGTATAAATTTGGTAGACGTTGTTTACCTGTAGCTAGCTAGCTATGCTAGAAGCCCAAGCAAGGAAGCTAGCTTTCATTAGCTGCTGGCACCAGCAGGCTAAGGTGGAACAGGTTCTGTGACACATTTAGCTACAGGATGCCAGCGACTTCTGTGACATAAACACAAACCAAAACTTTTACATGTAAAGTCTATTTGACAGACCCCGTTTAAACTCTGTTTTAGCTTATGGTAGGCTAGCAGGCTACAGTCGCTAATTAGCTAGCTTACCATTATCAGTTTGAGGAGCACCAGCTTCATATGAGTAGCAAATTTCAAAGCTACCTGGCTAGCTATGTTAGCGATCTGCCAAACAGCATTATTCTTATAGTTTCATGGCAATTTTTGAAGCAGTACTTCAGATAACATCCACCTTTCACTGCTCAATCAAAAACGCGACTCCTAGCTAACTTAACTTGTATGTTAGCATCGCGGTTCTGCTGTGACATTTGAAAAAGCTGCTTTATGTTAGCCAGGCAATTTAGTTTGGTTAGCAATAGCTTCTAGCCAGCGTAGCTAGCTTAATATACACGGAGTCCATCAATCTGCATATAAAATTACATTACATATAAATTATTTTACATATATTACATATAAAAGTTCTTCTTTATTTTAAAAACAGAAATATTACAGAAATCGCTGGCATGTTGTACAAAAGACACAGAGACTGATGTGAAGCAGACTGCAGTAAAAACAAGGCTAACACACACATACAGCATTTTAGCTCTGTTTACAGTTAAATCAGTGCATCTGTCCACTTCTTATTCTCGCTGTTTGTCACGGCAATGCAGGAAAACTACATTATAGCAGTTGTAGCTCAGTGTTTGAGCCTTATAGTTCACTACTATAACATTTTGTCATCGCTTCTGCAGTAGTGATATGGAGAGGAAGTGAGTTGTACCCTGGTAATGCTTAAACCGTAAGTAATCACGAGCCATTGAAGTCGACAATCAGCTGTCGTGTCTGTTACCTAGCAACCGACTATTTGCGCACAGCTGAAATGTAAACACGTAATCAAGTTAGTTAGCCAGACAGCTAACGTTAGCTACCATTACCGATGTAGGTCAAATAAGGCTGTTTATCAGAGTCGCTGCTCCACAGTTTGTTACATTTCCAAACGCTTTAGCAGAGCGCGACGCTTTAGCAGTGCCAACGTTATTCCTCCTAATACACAGACACACGTTCAGCTCTGCATCCTCATTATTCACCACCATCACTGTAATATTGTATCTAATACGTTTTTATTAAACGGTAACACCCAAAGGTAATAAGAGGGACAGTGGAGCTTGTGTGTGGCGTCTGAGTTCTTAAAAAAACACTGTTAAAAAAAACAAAAATCACAAGCCAAAGCACCTTTTCAATTTTGATAAATGTAGCATCATTAAGCTAGTTATAGTGAACTGTGCTGCCTATCACTGCATAAAACAATAGACGGTTGGAACAGGTGATTCAAACAGAAGTCAAGATGCTCTGAAGTTTGTCTTAAAGTTAAAATATTTAGGATGTTTCTGTAAAACCGTTTTCTTATCTAGAAATAAGATGATTATACGCTTAAGAACTGTTGTTCTGTAATAGCTTCTGTCCTAAATTCAGTCTTAACTGAAGTTGCCATGACAACAAAGCAGATAAGATATGATCTCAGACTTAAGAATTTTGCTGTCATATGGCCCCTGGTGGTCCTTCTCTCCAGGTTCTATTGCAGAACATTTAAAGAACCTTATCTACGGTGACAGAGAGCTGGCAGAACTCTCGGATTTGCTGATAATGTTTTGGAGTCAGTGACTGAGAGCTAACATTGTAATATTCAAAACTTTTTGGCGCCTCTGGTCAAATGATATGTTCTATTGATTTGAAAGTGCTGAAGTGAAGTTCACACATCCTCTACAGAGGCACATTTGCTGAATTGAGCATATTTGGAAAAATTAAACATGAAATATGGTCTGTCAAAGATTTTACTGCGCATTTCACCCTCTTGTGTTCCTCATAATGGACAAGGACTCTGAGGGACCTTTCATGAAATACAGTTAGAGTCGGGCTGGTCTACATGATGTGGTCTACATACAATGAAAATGCACAATATGGTGTTAAACTTCTTTCCATAAAGATGATATTTCCTGAAATAAAGCTGTTTTTGAATACGATTTGCTTAATCAAATGAATAAAGTGGTTTCATGCGTTTTGATGAAGAATTTATAAGACTTGATAATAAGACCTTAATTAACAGCAACTGAATCTTCATTTAATAGCTTGTGAAACAAATCAAAGTCATGTTTGATTAAGTTGTATTGATAGCTGGTACTATTTCAATTATTGACTGTTTACTTTGTAGCATAATTTACTCAGTCATTTGGCAACAAACTAATTATTTTGAATGGTAGAAACGTAATCATTAATTATAGTTTGTTATTAATTATGTAGTAATTGGATTTTCACAAATCACAAATGATATAACTTAAATAAACATTAAGCATTTACTTAGTTGCGTAAAAATAATTCATAATAATTATGACTAACTACTAATGATGAGCTAGTTTTTTACTATCCTTTTAAACATTAATAATTATTGAGGTGCTGTTAACAAGTTACACTTTTATAATGCATTTACAAAGACATACATTTATAAAAAGCATTTGCAATGCTTTAATTATTTGTGCTGTTGTACTTTATGCCGCTGATTGAGAAAAAAAGTTTTGTTTGAATCAAAATTGGTGTAAACTTTAACACAGCCCAAAGCTTTAAAGCTGAATTTCATGAGTGAGATGAGCTCAGTTCTGTAACTTTTAATAGAGCTTCTAGTTTGATACAGTTTTTCCTCTGTAACTTTAGAGATTTGCACTGTAAAAAGCAGATCATCAGATCTACTTAAAAAATGGCTTCATGTGGTAACAAGCAAATGAACTAGTTTTACCCAACCCAAAAAGTTACTTTAATTGAAAGAATCGTTCATTCAAAGTACTTATTTAGGTTGAATACAACTAGTAAATTTACTTGTTACCATATAAAATCATTGTTTTCAGTAGATCTGATGAGCCGCTTTGTACAGTATAGTTTGTTCTTTTAAATATTTAGATATAATCTTTGTAATCTGCACTGAGACTGTTGGAGCTCAAGCCTGGAAAATCTTGAATAAATCTTTTTTTAACTAGACTGTCTGTCTTTTATTTAGATTTTAACAAACACAAATTAAATAAAGTTAACACAGTTCTGGCCTGAATACCTGATTGTGTATGAACATGATTGAAATATGTAGAAGAAATATGAAAATTAAGATTAAAATTACTGGACTAAATGGAGTTGGGGTAACTTGACTTGAATGTGTGTATTTCACTTAATAATAATATTTCTGTATAACCATTTTATTTTTATTGAATGAAGTCAAACATGTAGAGATTTGTTAATACAAATCTACAAATCATTCATATGAAACTAATGTCCACAATTAAATTACATAAATCTAACTATTTTGGTTCTTTTTTTTCAGTTAACAATGAAGAAATAAGTATGGATCTGGCTTTGCCAGCTTTGTTGGGGTCTGATGGTTTGTTGGCAAGATGTGATAAATTCTGTTTCAACTGTAAATTAATGTGTAATTGCATTTTTTTCTCTTGGAACTTTTCAGTATTGAGTAACAATGATGAAGCAACAGCAACAAATTTTAAGTGTGATCAACCACTGAGATTGTGTAAGTGAACTTAATAATGAAACTAATTTTAAAACATAAGAACTTCTCCCACGTTATAAAGATCTGAGCCTGCTGGAGATGGTAAACTACTGAGGCCCAGGAAGAGTTTAATAAGGAGGCTGTAGAGGCTGAACGGTGATAGGTGGATTTTGCTGAGTCCTGAGTCATGTGAGGGAGCGAGGGGTTCTGGAAAATGCAGTCCGAGGCCGCCCAGTAAGCTGTAGTTCCAGCCGGGCCGGTGGGTGGCATGACACCGAATATAACACATGGTTCTGTTAACTTACTATCATATGTTTGGCGAACTTGAACTATTTAAACAGCCAGTTTACTTAAATTTGTAAGTTAATATCGTTGTTTTACAGTGGCATTACTAGATATGACTCTCTCTCTCTCTCTCTCTCTCTCTCTCTCTCTCTCTCTCTGTCACACTTTCTCTTGCTCCTTCTGCCCAATTAAATCCATCCACCTGTGGCCACTCCCACCTTTCATTTCAGAGTAAACAAATCTGAACTCAGAGAGCTGCTCTCTCTCTCAGTCTGTGAGTGCACGAAAATGGCAGAAGCATGTATTTTGGTAGATGAGGACCAGTTCAGCTGTCCAGTCTGTCTGGACCTGCTAAAGGATCCAGTAACAATTTCCTGTGGACACGTATTCTGTCAAAGGTGTATTAATGCATATTGGATTTTATATGATAAGAGACTGGACCAGAGCTACTCCCAGTGCAGAAAGACTTTCACCCCAAGGCCTGTTCTTCACAGTTCAAGCGTCAAGGATGCTGAAGAGGTACTGAAATGAATTTATTACTATTCATTAATAGTATATCAGTTGCATTAGTCTGTTATAGGATTAAAACTGCAATGCAGATTGTGAAATGAGTTTGAGGTGACGAGCGAAGTGGCTAAGGAAATAATGTGTTATGTCACAGTTTTGGCACTAAATGAGTCAAATTAGTCACTCCCATCTTCCAGCAGACCTGACAGTTTTAATGTCAAAGCACTGTGGAGTGAACTTTAACTCATCAGCTACCACTATTACAATGTACATAGTTGTAGGTGATAATTGACCAGTAGCTGAATAAAATGTATTTCTTCTCAGGCACAGCTAAAGGAAATGCAGTGGGAATTCTGGAAAAGAATCTATAAGAAAGAGGAGAAGCTGAAGGAGGTAAAAGAGGCTATGAAAACTCTGAAGGTAAGAAGCGAATCGTTTTTTTAATTAAATTATGTAATATATTGAATCATTCATGATTATTACAACAAAACAACAACTGTTTTTCTTGAAGTAGGGAATTGGGTAGCTGCGCTTTATTGGCCATATCATGTCATGCTAACCAATTTATAAAGTTAAACTATTAACCGAAAACAGCCACATTGCAATAACACATTTTCAGTACATAGGATTATCAGTGGAAATCAATTACACTGTATAATACACTGATACACTTCACCAATACTAAGGGGAAAAAATTGATTCAACTATGGCATCACGTTTTTAACTTAGTACTAAGTATTGTGTATTATGGTCTCAACTATTGCTGCACCATTTAGAACAGTTGACCTCAATAGTAATACCTCTATATGCATTTTATTGAAGACACATTTACTTAAAATATTTAAATTTATTAAAATGTAATACATTTTTATGTACCTTGTCATTTTCATTCATGCAGTATTTTAGACACATTTCACATAAATATGGGCTAGCTATTTAGAGTTTGCATATAGGGTTTAGATTATTGTAACATTTAATATAAATGTTGTGCCTATTTGTAGCAGATGCAGGGGAGATGAAGTGTATTACCATGTTGGACCAGTAGAGTGCATCAGTTTTTGTTTACCTTTAAGCGAAGTTCATACTACAAAAATTTTAACCTTGATTTTCCACTTGCTGCCAGTTTTTGGAGATCGGGCAGGGCTCACAAATTGACTCTCAACCTCTATGTGTGAATTTTTCAAAGATGCCATCCGAGAGACTCACTGATGCCTTGCAGATGCCCAAATCCTGTAGTGTGAAAAGCATTGTGACCCAGTTGTGACAGGCAGTGAGTGCTGTGAAAAGCTACAGCCAATGAGAGCACAACACGTAGGGTGAGGAGGAGTTGTACAACATTGACAAGTGTATCCCCATTTATTGTCTCACCCATATTGTTTTACTATACTTCCTTGGGACACTTGCTTCTTGCTGACATCCATTTTTGGAAGAAAAAATTCTCGAATGGTTATGCGTCACTCCCCATGTCACTTCTTCAATATGTTTTTGTGACAATACATAGTTTTGATTCCTCCTGATGAAGGATAGTGTGTGACCCCCTGTCACAGATCATTTGGTGAATTAACCACAGTGACTTCAAGATTCCCAAGTAGTAGAAGACAGCAAGTTATGTGGTGTGAACAGTACAGCGATCTGACAACTTTGAACCAACCTGGAACACCATATCAACAACCTGGAATACCATAGCAGACACCTAAGGATATCCAAGCAACCACCTTAAATACCTTAGCAACCACTTTGTAACACCCTACCAACCACTTTAAATATCATGGCAATGACCTATTAATACCATAACAATGGCTTAACCACCACCTAATAACTAAGAAGCAATGCCCTAGCAACCAGTTGAAATAGCATAGTAATTACATACCACCATCCTAGCAATTACCAAGTAAGAGTACCATAGAAACCACCTACCAACACCTTACCAACTTTGGATAACAGAGCAACCACCAGCAACACCTATAGCAACCACCTCAAACACCATAGCAACCACCTAGCAGCCCTCTAGATCTCAGGACAGATACCATAACAACCATAAATTATATAATAGTAACAACCTAGCAACCACCTTGGATACCCTAGCAACCACCAAACAACTGCCAAGCAATGCCTTAGCAAACCAGTTGGAATACCACATCAACTACACTACAGCATAATAACATACCTGAAAAACAACTGCAACCACATAGCAACACAGTAGCAACCATCTGAAATACACGTCAACTACTTAGCAACACCCTAGAAACCACGTAAGTTACTATAACAACTGCCTACCAAGTAAACCAAAAATGGAGATACAAGGTTTTCTTCCAACAACAATGCTTTGATACAGTGTGGACAGTGAGTCATCTAGAGTCCCAGTGAGAGAGTGAATGATAGCTGGTGTGTAAATGGAGCTCCATCTTGTGTGTGTGTTGTAACAGAGCTCTGCACAGGCAGCAGTGGAGGACAGTGAGAGGATCTTTACTGAGCTGATCCGCTCCATTGAGAAAAAGCGCTCTGAGGTAACAGAGCTGATCAGAGCTCAGGAGGAGGCTGAACTGAGTGGAGCTGAAGAACTCCTGGAGCAACTGGAGCAGGAGATTGCTGATCTAAAGAGGAGACACACTGAGCTGGAGCAGGTTTCACACACAGAGGATCACATCCATTTCCTCCAGGTAACCATCTGTTACTCTTGTTAATTTAGAAATAAATTGAAGAATTTAGAATAAGAAAAACAGCTTTGGCTAATCAGAACTGTAGAACAGCAATGTAAACAAGCCTATCACAGCAGTGTTAGCATTTGAAAATATGTAGAGTGGCTAAGAAGAAGTCAGTGCAGAGTCTTTCAAAGGAGAATCGCGAAGTATCAAGAAATCAAATATTTTTTCCCAACTCTTTAAAAATCTTTAACAAACCGCAAAACATAACGAAAGAAGATGGCAGCTTCTTTAAAGCATTACAGTCCAAAATCTTACTGCATTGTGTTTCTCTCTCTGTAGAGTTTCCAGTCTCTCTGTGTCTCTTCTGGATCTGAGGACTCACCCAGCATCACTGTACATCAACATCTCTCATTTGATGGAGTGAGGAAATCTCTCTCTGATCTGAAAGAGAGACTAGAGGAATTCTGCAAGCAGGAATTCAGTAGAATCTCTCTGTACAGTGAAAGAAGCTCTGCTGATGAAGAACATGAGGGTGAATCTTTACCTGCCCAGAGTCTTTACAGGTGCAGAAAGAGAATGGGTGAGTCATGAGTTGTTGTTTTTTTGTTGTTTGTTTGTTTTTGTTTTTTTGTTTGTTTGTGCCTTGCACAACCACTGACACAATTTGTTTTTTGGCTATTAATTGAAAAAAAAGGATCAAAATTGGTTATACAAGTAACCGACACGTCTCTGCTACAAAATGAAAATGTCCACTGTGTATCTAGCTCCACCTTCTCTGAACAATTCAGCTGAACTTGATGAGATTGCAAATGTTACAACTTACCAGCTACAAGCTGAATCAAAAACAATGAATTTATAAAGTACATCCAATTACATAAAGTTCATTGAAACAAATAACACATAATACATTGGCTCACACTGACAACTTGATCACACAGAACAGCAAATAATGTTGTAATAAAAGTATATTACAAGTATATTTTTTATTCTTTTTAATTGGATAGTAAAAGTGTATTCTTTATTTATATGACATCTATAGCACATTTTTCAAGAATCTGTGAATATCAGTAAAAATATTTTGAATTCATTTGTGGGAGATATGTACTATCCTTATTATTTATTAGGAATGGGAATATGAAATATTGTCTTTGCGTTCGGCCATACAAACTCACCCAGGCCCTGGCAGCTCATGTCATGGATTTCCATGAAAAACTTCAAACATAAACAAACAAAATTTGCTGTTCTAAATCATTTTGTAATTATTAATATTAATTTATTTTTCTCAAATTCAGCTTCTAAATCACTTCATGAATAAAGATTGTATCTGCAAAATGAATGCATTTTAATATCTAAATAGCTGACATGTTAACTGGGTATAAAAACAACACCAAGAATAACATTTGACTTTAAGTCAATTAATTTATTATTAATAAATTGACACAAATTACTTTCATGTCCAACATGAAATCTGTCATCTATGAAACTGAATGTCTATCAGTCAGTTATTCATTTATTCATCATCATTAACCGCTTAATGCAGATAGTCATGGTAGCAGTTGGGAGAGCAGAGAAAGCCAAACGATCCTGTCTTCCGCAACTTTCTCCAGCTAATTCTGGGGGACCCCAAGCCGCTCCCAGACCAACTTGGAGATATAATCCCTCCAGTGGGTCCTAGAATGACCTCGGGGTCTCGTCCCAGTAGGCCATGCCTGGTAAACTCCCACTGGGGGTTCAGGGGGCATCCTGATCAGATGCCCAAACCACCTCAAATGGCTCCTCTCATTGTGGAGGAGTAGCAGCTCTTCTCCAAGCTCCTCCCAGATGCCCGAGCTTCTCACCCTATCAAGTAGAGTGTAGTCCGCCACCCTGCGAAGAAAGCTAATTTCCACCGCTTGTATTCACAGTCTCATTCTTTCGGTCATTACCCACAGCTCATGACCACAGGTGAAGGTCAGGATGTAGACCAACTGGTAAACAGAGAGCTTTGCCTTATGGCTCAGCTCCCTCTTCATCACTACAGTCTGGTACAGTGACTGCATTATTGCTGCCGCCTGTCCCAGCCTGCAGCCAGTTTCACAATTCCTCTTCCCATTACTCGTGAACAAGACCACGAGAACTCCTTCACCTGGGGCAGGTCCTTTCCCCTTACCTGGAGTGGGCATGCCATCTTTTTCTGGGCTAGGACCATGGATTCAGACTTGGGGGTGCTGATCCACATACAAACCACTTCACATTCAGCTGCAAACCGCTCCAGTGAGAGCTGGAGGCATCCATGCAATCCAGCCAAAAGGACAACATCATCTGCAATTAGCAGAAACGCCACCTTCCAGCCTCCACACATAATGCCTTCCTGACCTCGTTTATGCCTGGACACCCTGTCCATGAATATCATGAACCAAAGTGGCGACAAGACACAACTTTTGCAGAGTCCAACGCTAACACTGAACAAGCTTAACTTAATACAGAATATACAAACATAACTCTCACTCCAGGAGTAGAGATTGAATGACCGAGAGTAGTAGACCTGGCACCCCATACTCCCAGAAGACCTCCCACAAGATATCTCCGGCAACACAGTTGCAAGCCTTCTACAGGTCCACAAAACACTTGTAAACTCGTTTGGCAAACTCCCATGCCCCCTCAACAGTCTGTGAGAGGGTGAATAGCTGGTTCACTGTTCCACAGCCAGGACAGGATCCGCATTGTTCCTCCTCAATCTGAGGTTCGACTATCGGTCAGAGTCTCCTTTCCAGCACATTGGCATAAACTTTCCCAGAGAGGCTGAGCAGTGTGATACCCCGGTAGTTGGGACACAACAGTCCCTTTTCTTAAAAATATAGACCACCACCCTGGTCTGCCAGTCCAAGGGTACTGTTCCCGAGGTCCATGGAATATGGCAGAGGTGTGTCAGCCACGACAGCCCCACAACTTGTCATATGTCATTAGCTCCAATGGTGTCATCATGGACGATCACATGGTAGACACAGTAGTAAACTGGCCAAAACCCACTTCAGTAAAAGAATTAGTGATTTTTAGGATTTGCATATAGACGTTTCATTCAAAATGTTAGCTCACACAAGCTTACACCCACCAAACGGAATTATGGGATAGGGGACCGTAAACTCTTTGCAATAAAATTAGCTCTGCAAGAATGAAGACAATGGCTACACAGTGCTAATCACCCTTTTGTAGTGCTTACTGACCATAACAATCTTGAACATCTACATACTGCTAAACACTTACACTCTGGACAAGCTTGTCTTTGTTCTTTTCAAGATTCAGATTCAAGATTTCTTTTCAAGATTTCAAGATTTGTTCTTTTGAAGATCCAAGATGGTGCAGAGCATGGCTGCAGTGTTGCGAGCTCCCTTAACTTCTGTATGTTTTTTGTTAATTTTGTTTTTATTTGTAACTACTTTTACCCTAAATGTTGCCAGCACCTTCGTTTACGGCAGAAAAACACTTCTGGAAATCAGATTGACAATCACTCACCGAAAACCACACTTTGAGTTTCTGAACGCAGATCCATTGTTTGGGAACCTCAAAGAGGCACTATTCAGACGCCGGAAAAGTGGCGTTCTGGTCAGGCTGAGACAGCGTGCTAATCGCCCCCCCCACTCCCCAGCATACTACTGGCAAACATGCAGTCCCTGGACAACGAAATCAGCAAACACAGGGCACGAATCTCTTTCCAGTGAGAAACACGGGACTGCTGTATAATCTGCCTCACAGAGACCTGGCTATCAGCGGAGATTCCCAGCGAGGCCATTGAGCCCGCAGGCTTCTCTGTGCACTGTGCGGACAGAACAAAGGACCTCTCCGGGAAGAGCAAAGGGGGAGGTGTATGTTTTATGATCAACAATGCTTGGTGTGATCAGAGGAATGTACACTTCAACGAGTCTTTCTGCTCCCCAGACTTGGAATATCTAATCGTCTCGTGCAGACCGATGTGGCTGCGTGGAGAGATTTCAGGGGTCACTGTCACTGCCGTGTACATCCCACCACAGGCTGATACAGACCTGGCGCTCGGGAAACTGTACGAGGCTGTTAACAGGCAGGAGACCGTGCGCCCGGAGGCCACCTCCATTGTTGTTGGGGACTTCAACAAAGCAAACTTTAAGGAAGTCGCTCCAAAGTACTTCTCCCCCTTCCGTTTGGCAAATCGGATCATCTCTCCATCCTGCTCCTGCCCACCTATAGGCAAAAGCTGAAAAGGGTACTGCCATCAGGGAGGTCCACCGTTGGTCGGACCAATCGGATTCAGCGCTTCAGGACTGTTTTGATGACACAGACTGGGAGATGTTCTGCGAGGCGTCAAACAATAACATTGATGAATATGCAGACTCAGTTACCGGGTTCATTAAGAAAGTGTATAGAGGATGTTGGGCCCACAAAAACAGTTCATGTTTACCCCAATCAGAAGCCATGGCTCAACTATGAGGTCCGTGCAGCTCTGAATGCACGTACTGCTGCTTTTAAATCAGGAAACACGGATGAGTATAAAAAAGCCAGCTATGCTCTCCGTAAGACCATAAAAGCTGCCAAACGCAAGTACAGGGCTAAAGTGGAGTCACAGTTCAACACCACCAACACGAGAAGCCTGTGGGAGGAGTTAAACACAGTAACGGACTTTAAGAGGGAAACTCATTCTGTAAATAACATCAGCGCTGCGATTCCAGATGAGGTGAACACTTTCTACACTCGTTTCGTGGCAAATCACACCACGCTCGCGGAAAGAGTCCCCGCCCCCGCTACCTCCAAGTTAACACCCCCCTCTGTGTCCGTGGCCGATGTGTGCAGAGCCTTCAAGCGTGTTAACATCCGCAAGGCAGCCGGGCCTGACGGGATCACTGCACACGCTCTCAAAGCCTGTGCACATCAGCTGGCAGGAGTGTTTACAGACATTTTTAACCTCTCTCTCTCACTCTCAGTTGTTCCCGCGTGCTTCAAACTTCATCTGCTCCTCACTACCTGCCACTCTGGACCCACTGCAGTTTGCTTAGAGACAGAACAGCTCCACTGATGACGTAATAGCCCTGACTCTACAAACTGCCCTCTCCCATCTTGACATAAAGAACACGTATGTGAGAATGCTGTTTGTGGACCACAGCTCAGCATCCAACACACAATCGTGCCCTCAAGCCTCGACATTAAGCTTCGGGATCTGGGTCTGAACAGTTCTCTGTGCAGCTGGATTCTGAACTTCCTGGGGGGCCGATGCCAGGTGGTAAAGATGGGCAACATCACCTCCTCCTCACTGACCCTTAACACCAGAGCTCCTCAGGGCTGTGTGCTAAGCCCTTTCTTGTACTCCCTGTACACCCACAACTGCTCAGCCAGACACGGCTCCAATGTCATCATCAAATTTGCAGATGACACCACAATTGTTGGCCTGATCTCCTACAGAGAAGAGGTCAGCTTTCTGACACACTGGTACCAGGAGAACAACCTCTCTCTCGATGTCAACAAGACCAAGGAACTCATAGTGGACTTCACGAAGCAAGGAAGAGTGCACACCCCCATCACCACCAACGGAGCCACTGTAGAGAGGGTCAGCAGCTTCAAGTTCCTCAGTGTTCACATCTCAGAGGAACTGACATGGAGCGAACACACCACACGGGTGGTAAAAAGGTGGTATATATTAAAAAAAAACAGAAAAACGAGGAGATTTTTAGTAACAGTGCTTTTTATTTCAAAAATTAGTATTGTATAATTGTATGAAATCTTTGATATATTTAATATTTTTTTCCCTAAAAGACTTAATAAATATTACCCCACCTTTTAGTTTCTTTCTCCACAGAGCTACCAGCTGAAATGGCTTTACACTCAGAGCTAAAGAGCAGAGAAGATTTTCTGCAGTGTATGTGAAACTCACACATGCACATATACCCACACACACACCCTGTGAATAAAACACTGACAATTTCACTGAAAAAAAGATTAGGGTTTACTTATTTAAATCTACAAATTGGTTCCATGTGAAGGAAAATTATTACATTACAATTACTACATGGAAATTACAATTTTTCTTACTTTTGCGTAGTGTTTTGTTAATGTATTTTATTATTGTGGAACATATAAACACATCTGAATGAAATAAATTCAACATTTTGTTCAGTGTTCATACTTATTTTCTTTCTTTTCCTTGTTAGATTTCTGTCGTCTGACTCTGGATCCCAACACAGTGAATCAGTACCTCAGCCTATCTAAGACGAACAGAGTGGTGATGCACAGTGGGAGATTCCAGCATTACTCTGATCACCCAGAGAGATTTGACTACTGGTATCAGGTGTTGAGTAAGGAGAGTGTGAGTGGACGCTGTTACTGGGAGGTTGAGTGGAGCAGTATTTGGGAGCTGTGCATATCAGTGTCATATAAAGGGATCAGCAGGAAAGGACAGAGTAATGAGTGCTGGTTTGGACACAACAGTCAGTCCTGGAGTCTGCAGTGTTCTCCCTCTTTCTCTTTCTATCATAACAACATTCAGACTGAGCTCTCAGCCTCATCATCCTCCAGAATAGGAGTGTATGTGGATCACAGTGCAGGAACTCTGTCCTTCTACAGCGTCTCTGACACAATGACCCTCCTACACACAGTCCACACCACATTCACTCAGCCTCTCTATGCTGGATTCTGGGTGTGCCCTGGAACTGTGAGGTTGTGTGATCCAAAATGATGTGTATATTGTACATTGGGGTTACCTCACCTTTAACTAATACATACGGAAGTCCAGTTACACCAAATATCTTGCTTACACAGTTCCGGATAAACAAACTATCATAAATGACATTCCTTTGAATGCTTAAACATTAATGATCAGTCCAGGCAGCTAATAAAAAAACAACACCTATCAATTATATTACAATAAACTTTTTTGATAAACTAATGAGCATTTTTTAAAACTATTCTAGCTGTATTAAAATAAAATAAATAAATCTGAATTAAAGTAAAAATCATAATATCCTTAATAGGCAATTCACCCTCTTGTGTTCCTCGGAATGGATGAGGACTATGATGGTCCTTTCAGGTTGAAATTTGCATTTACGAAGATGAAAATGGGGAGAAAAGTGCATAGTTTCTCACTGTTTACATGTTTTTAAACACACTAATTTTATAGTCAACTTTGTTTTAATAAGCCATGTTGTTGTTTCTCTACTCAAACATATAAAAAAAATGTAAAATTCACTTTCAGATCTGATATCTGCTCTGTAGTCTCTGTTCCAATGAGCTGCCTTCAGCTACATTGTTGACATAAATGCATGTGATTAGATAAACTGCAGCACAGAACGGCTACAGGACTACAGAAGCTTCACTGGTTCATGTTTGTCATTGAAACAGGACCATTTTTTGTTGACATGCTAATCAGCTGTGCTATATACACATATATAAATACCAGGACATGAAGAAGAAAATGCTCAGATTTTATAAAAGCTCTTAGCTAATCTAATCTGGACAAAGTGCTTAACAAGCCTTTCTGTGCTTAGTTAGATCACAAAGTTTGCAAAAAAGCAGCTGTAGCGGAGAAACGCAGTTAGTTTGGAGGTGGGCTGGTCTACATCATGTCGTCTACATACAATGAAAATGCATGAAATAATGTTATAGTCGTTTAATAATGATAAATTGCTTTCCATAAAGATGCTATTTCCTGAAGGAAAGCTGTTTTTGAATATAATTTGCTTTATCAAATGAATAAAGTAGTTTCACATGCTTTGATGAAGAATTGTTAACAATCTATACTATAATAACAGATCCTTATAAACAGCAACTGAATATTTATCTAATGTTTGGGAATGAAATGGAAGTTATGTTTGTATTGATAATTGGTACTATTTGAGTTATTGAAATAATTTACTCAGTATCAAATAATAATTATTCTGAATGGTAGAAACTCAGTCACTATATAGTTTGTAAATAATAATTATTATTATTATTTGATATTCATGAATCGCAAATGACGTAACTTGAAATATTAAGCGTGTACTTCATTTTAATTCACTTGGAGACTAAAAATAACCAATTATCAAGTTATTTTCAGTTCACAACACATTTAATTAGAAAGCTGTAGAAGAGGTCTGAACACACTGCATTAAATGTCTTTAGAATTACAGTGAATCAGAAGTAACACTGGCTGATCTGAAGACTTCTGTCCACTAACAGCCTAATTTCTTTTCTTCTATGTTCTTTATTGTAAAAGTCTGATTCTTTATTCATTTTGTTCTTGTTCTGTTATTGTTTTGCTACATGGTGTCGACCAGAGGAGGATGGTTTCTTGGTTTCCCTCAAGGTTTCTTCCTTTTGCTCTTAGGGAGGTTTTTTTCACTGTCGCCATGGTGATGCTCTTTTGGGACTTGGGCCCAAGTTTTCTGTACAGCTGCTTTGTGACAGCACTTGTTGTGAAAAACACTATATGAATAAATATTGAAGTGAACTGAAGATTTTTTCTTTATAAAATCAATGAGTTGAGCTTTTTGTTCTTATCTGTAACACATTTTCTCTGGAAAAGACAATTTAACAGTCCAATTTACCACAATAAAAGTGTTCAACTCAAAATGAAGTTCATTTTTGGGAGAAGAAGCTTTTATGCTCTATTCACTAATAACTGCATTGAGTTCTGTGTTAGAGTATCTATAGACATTAATCTTTTAGCTCTAAAATATACCTTTAGTTCTGCCCAATCAAATCCTTCCACACATAGACACTCCCACTCTGCTGCTCCTTCATTTCAGAGAAAGTAAAACTGCTCTGTCTCAGTCTGTGAGTGCAGGAAAATGGCAGAGGCCAGTATTTCAGTAGATCAGGACCAGTTCAGCTGTCCAGTCTGTCTGGATCTGCTGAAGGATCCAGTAACGACTCCCTGTGGACACTGTTATTGTATGGTGTGTATTAATGAACATTGGGATCAGGATGATCAGTGGGGGGTCTACAGCTGCCCCCAGTGCAGAGAGACCTTCACTCCAAGGCCTGTTCTACGCAGAAACAACATGCTGGCTGAAGTGGTGGAGAAACTGAAGAAGACAGAATTCCAAGCTGCTCCTCCTGCTCACTGTTACGCTGGACCTGGAGATGTGGAGTGTGATTTCTGCACTGGGAGAAAACGCAAAGCCATCAAGTCCTGTTTGGTGTGTCTGGCTTCTTATTGTGAAACTCATCTTAAACCTCACTATCAGTCTCCTGCCTTTAAGAAGCACAAGCTGGTCGAAGCCTCCAAACAGCTACAAGAGAAGATCTGCCCTCAACATAATGAAGTGATGAAGATCTACTGTCGTACTGACCAAAGCTGCATCTGCTATTTGTGTACGATGGATGAACACATAGGACACGTTATAGTAGCAGCTGTAGCAGCAAGACATCAAAAACAGGTGAGAAGTGGAAATATTTTAAAACCAATTCATGTTCTTTGTATTTCTGAACTAGAATCTGATGCTGTACTTAACTTCACAATTATAAAGCTGATGAGTTTCTGGATTAGTGATATTGAAAATAAATGTGTTTGGGTAGGAAAGCTTTAAATAAACCTGACATTACTTACTTTTACAAATCACAGTCAGCAAACTTTTTGACCGGCCAATACCCGTCTTCCAGCATTTTACACCTTTATAGTGCTCACATGTAGGAATAGAATGTGGAACTTTACAGCTGCTGTTAATATTAACCAGAATGCAAATTTCTAATTCTCAGAATCAGCTGAAGGAGATGCAGAGGAAATTCCAGCAGAGACTCCAGGAGAAAGAGAAGAAGCTGCAGGAGGTGAAACAGGCTGTGAAGACTCTTAAGGTGAGTAGTGAGCAGAGATCTGCTGGAGCAGCTGTTTCACAGCTCAGTCAGACTCTCCTCCAGTCAGACAGTGAGGAGTCCAGTGTTGGACACTTAGAGATCCTACACAGCCACAGTGTGGACAGTGAGTCATCTAGAGTCCCAGTGAGAGAGTGAATGATAGCTGGTGTGTAAATGGAGCTCCATCTTGTGTGTGTGTTGTAACAGAGCTCTGCACAGGCAGCAGTGGAGGACAGTGAGAGGATCTTTACTGAGCTGATCCGCTCCATTGAGAAAAAGCGCTCTGAGGTAACAGAGCTGATCAGAGCTCAGGAGGAGGCTGAACTGAGTGGAGCTGAAGAACTCCTGGAGCAACTGAAGCAGGAGATTGCTGATCTAAAGAGGAGAGACACTGAGCTGGAGCAGCTTTCACACACAGAGGATCACATCCATTTCCTCCAGGTAACCAGCACTGTCTGATCTACTGAAGGACCTGTTCCTCCTGTGTATTGTTTCTAAAGTAACTCTTAACTAAGGTTATATTAAAGAGGCTGTAAACTCAGTTGCAAACAGCAAATATTAAACATCTCAATAAATCAGAAGTTGTGACTTGATCATTATTAACCATTTGTATCTGTAAAAATGTATAATTCACTATAATTTAAAGAATTTGAAGTTAGAAAAATTGCTCTCTTTAATCAGAACTGTGGCACGAAAATGTACACAACCCTAAAACAGCAGGGTTAGTATTTTTAAGATATTCATAATGGCTATATAAATGTCTAATTGTTATGTTTTGTGTATCTATGCAGAATCTTTTGTTGTTTATTGAATAGCGACGATGTGAAGATGATGATGAAGTCTCTGCTGACACCGTCTTGCTTGTATAAGATGTTTATTACAAAGTAAAACAGTATCATATCAAGCACCATAAAGTACCTGAGAGGGGATCCATGCCAATTCTGAAGTGTCCCCTCCAGAACAGTATATCCAACTGCTTATATAGGGTGGTTGTTGGCGAAAAAGGGAACAGAACATATGGTCCTTTTTAAAATGATCTCATCCATCTGAAACTAAGAGAGGAAGGGAAAGGGGTCCATTCCCTATGGGGCCTCGACCCTTGGACCTTTGGACCAGGGGCCCCCTAACTTAAACATTCCATTTACTACGCTTTCAAAGAAGAATGCAATGTATCACAGTTTCAAACATTTTTCCAACCCCTATAAAAGTCGGTAGCCAACCACAAAACATAAGAAAACAAGGTGGCAGCCTCTTTAAGGCATTACAGTCCTGTACCTTTATCTCACTGCAGTCTGTGTCTCTCTGTAGAGTTTTCAGTCTCTCTGTTACTTTTCTGGATCTGAGGACTCACCCAGCATCACTGTCCATCACCATCTCTCATTTGATGGAGTGAGGAAATCTCTCTCTGATCTGAAAGAGAGACTAGAGGAATTCTGCAAGCAGGAATTCAGTAAAATCTCTCTGTACAGTGAAAGGAGTTCTGCTGATGAAGAACATGAGGGTGAATCTTTCCCTGCACAGAGTCTTTACAAGCACAGAAGGAGAATGAGTGAGTCATAAGAGTTTTTGATCTTATTGCTTCTCTCTACTTATGATACATTTTGATGCACTATAGTGTTTAGTATCTTAGTAAAGCCTAAAGGGTTTAAATGATTTTATTTTCCCTCTTCTACTCTTCTTCCTAATCAAAAATGAATGGGGGGATCAAAACTGGCTACACACACATCCATGTGTGTTGCCTAGATTGAAACACCTGAATGAAGAGATTTTTAAAAGAAATTGCTTGGCTTTGCAGAGATTTCTGAGCTGTCCCTGGGTTTCCCAGTCAGTGTGTCGGCCCTTCCCCAGGCTGGTGTTTATAAAATAGACAGAAAAATAGAAAAAGAATTTCTTGTTAACAGAGCTTTATGTTTCAAATATTTTATATCTCAAAGAACACAAAACACATAATAAACATTATCCCACTTTTTTGTTTTCTTCTCCACAGAGATACCACATCATATGGCTTTACACTCAGAGCTAAAGAGCAGAGAAGATTTTCTGCAGTGTGTGTGGAACACACTCACACACACACACACACACACACACACACAACTACAAAAACACACACAAAAACTTGTTTGTCTTATTGAAATATGAATATTGTATTTTTCGTTGTTAATGAGGAAGTAAAATAGGACGTTACAGAAATGTGAAAGGAAAGACACTGAATTTTACTGAAAATTTCACTGAAAAATAAAGTTTGGATTTACTTGATTTAAATTTACATATTGATTCCTTGTGAAGGAAATTTATAGCATCAATACAATTACTGTGGTATATTTTTCTTAATTTTGGCAGGGTTTTGTAGATGTATTCTATTCTTAAATTTTTTTTGGGGATTTTAACCCAATTATCTCCCCAATTTAGTCGTCACCAATTCCACCTGCTAGTTAGGACTCCCCCAATCACACGATGCTATCAATGCTAGGAGGGTGAAGGCTAACACAGGCTTCCTCCGAGACCTGTGAAAACAGCCACCGCTTCTTTTCAAACTGCCGCTCACGCAACATCACTGGACAGCCGAACGCGCTCGGAGGAAAGCGCCAACCGCCAGATCTGTTACATCAGCTAACAGACGCCTGCACTGACTAGCATTGCGTTAAGTGATGGGGGGGGAAGGAGGGGCCATCCTACCCACCCAGGTAGAGCGAGGCCAATTGTGCTCTCTTAGACTCCTGGCTACAGATGGCTGTAGCATCACCAGGGATCAAACTCACGATCTCCTGATGATAGGGCCAACGCTTAGACGGTTGCACCACTCGGGAGCCCGATGTATTCTTTTCTTGTGGAAAATATTTACAGATTTGAATTAAGAACATTTAAATAAACATTTTATTCAGTGTTCATAATTATTTTCTTCCTTTTCTTTGTTAGATTTTTGTCGGCTGACTCTGGATCCCAACACAGCAAATCTGTTCCTCAGACTGTCTGAGGAGAACAGAGTGGTGACGCTCAGTGGGAGATTCCAGCGTTTCTCTGATCACCCAGAGAGATTTAACTACAGGCAGCAGGTGTTGTGTAAGGAGAGTGTGAGTGGACGCTGTTACTGGGAGGTTGAGTGGAGCAGTGAGGGATGTGTGTACATATCAGTCTCATATAAAGGGATCAGCAGGAAAGGACGGGGTTATGAGTGTAAGTTTGGACACAACAGTCAGTCCTGGAGTCTGCAGTGTTCTCCCTCTCTCTCTTTCTATCACAACAACATTCAGACTGAGATCTCAGCCTCATCCTCCTCCAGAATAGGAGTGTATGTGGATCACAGTGCAGGAACTCTGTCCTTCTACAGCGTCTCTGACACAATGACCCTCCTACACACAGTCCACACCACATTCACTCAGCCTCTCTATGCTGGATTCAGGGTGACCTCAGGAACTGTGAGGTTGTGTGATCCAAAATGATGTGTATGTTGTGCTGTGTGGTTCCCTCATTGGAAGATAAGCAAGATAACAGTAATAATAATTAATCTCGACCAAGATGGCGGTGCGTGTGCATCACGAGGCTCAGCGTCTCATCAGTTTCAGCAATATAATGCATATGTACCTAACAATCTCCTGCGTTTTCTCTCGACTCACTCGTGCAAACTTCAGATACGACAGACAGACACTGCTTGATATTAATCATCGCTGCACAAACATCATTTTGGACCTTTCATTCCACTTCAACCAGCTACTCCGGAGCTGACCAGCACACCGAGACCAAACAAGCTATTCATACCGACCGGAAGAGCAGGTAAGCGTGGAGGTCTGTGTGCTAAGCTAAGGCTAAACCCACACCGGTGAGCGCTACCTAGCATCTTCCTCACCAATGTGCAGTCTCTGGCGAACAAGCTGGACGAATTAAAGATCTGGACCCTCACACAGAAAAGGCCAAAACTTGGCTAAGCAACGATGTTTCTAACAGCATGGTGGAACTAGAGGAGCGCACTCTCTTCAGAGCTGATAGGTCAGCTATAGCTCTGGGTAAGAGCCGCAGTGGTGTTGTTTGTATTTATGTAAACAAAGCATGGTGCACGGACGCTGTCGTTGTTGATACCCACTGCTCTGCTGACCTGGAGTTCCTGTTTATTAGACTCTTCAATCTTCCACGTGAGTTTACCTGCGTTGTTGCTGCTGCAGTTTATGTTCCCCAAGATGCTAATGCTAATGTGGCTGTGAAAGATCTTTGAGCTGCTGTGAGCAAACTGGGGACAAAAAGGGGACAAAAAAAATTGGATCATGTTTACACCAATGTGGCTAATGCCTACAAAGCCACACCCTCTCCCACCTGGGACAGTCTGAGCACCTCTCTTTGTTCCTGCTCCCCAAGTACACCCCAGTCATCAACAATGTGAAACCCACAACAACATCTGTGAAGATCTGGATGGAAGGGACCGACTCCTCTCTTTAGCAACAGTTTCAGCACACAGATTGGAGGCCTCCACAGACTCTCATACCAACATTGACATCTACACCAACTCTGTCCTGGATCATATCAACAGCTGTGAGAACAGAGTGACAACTCACACAATAATAAAAACCTTCCCTAATCAGAAGCCCTGGATGAACAGAGATGTTCACCTGCTGCTCAAACCCATCACTGTGTTCCTGTTTATGGCTCCATAATCAAGTTCGCGGATGACACCACGGTGATAGTGACAGTGAGACGGTCTACAAGGACTAGATGCAGCATCTGACAGCATGGTGTGATGACAGAAACTTAGCGCTCAACACCCAGAAAACCAAGGAGGTCATAGTGGACTTTAGGAGGGCCACGATCCAGGCACACTCCTTTATCTACACCAATGGTACTGAGGTAGAGCGCATGTCTGGCTTCAAGTTCCTTCGTATCCACATCTCGGATGATCTCAGCTGGTCCCTAAACTCCTCCATCATGGTCAAAAAGGCGCAACAGCGTTTTTACTTCCTACGGAGCCTTAGGAAAGCTCACCTGTGTCCTGGTATACTGGTGAACTTTTACCACTGTACCACTGAGAGCATACTCACAAATTGCATCTTAGTGTGGTATGGCTGCTGCTCCGCATCTGACCGCAAAGCGCTCCAGTGGGTGATGACAACTGCCCAATGCATCACAGGTGCCCAGTTACAGGGCAAGGAACATCATCAAGGACATTTCTCATCCTAACTATGGACCTTTTACCCTCCTCCCATCTGACAGGCATTACAGGAGCCTTCACTCCCGCGGCAGCAGGCTCAGATAGAGGTTCTTCCCTGAGGCTGTGACCCTGCTGAACTCCACACCGTCACTTTAACTGCATCTTTGCACTCACTGCACTGTATTGTACTTTATGTTCCTAGTATTATTGCACTATTCATATTTGTGGGTGGCACGGTGGCGCAGTGGGTAGCTCTGTCGCCTCACAGCAAGAATGGCCTGGGTTCGTATTCCCAGTCGGGCGACCAGAGTCATTTCTGTGTGGAGTCTGCATGTTCTCCTCTGGGTACTCCGGTTTCCTCCAACAGTCCAAAGACATGCAATCAGGTGAATTGGACATGCTAAATTGCCCTTAGGTGTGTGTGCGCGTGAATGCGTCTGTCTGTCTGTCTGTCTGTCTGTCTGCCTGCCCTGCGATGGACTGGCGACCTGTCCAGGGTGTTTCCTGCCTTCCGCCCGATGATAGCTGGGATAGGCTCCGGCACCCCACCGCGACCCAGAAGGATAAGCGGTTTAGATGATATGTGTATTCATATTTGCACAGTCTATTACTGCACTATTCATATTTGCACCAACAATTACTGTACAAATTTACCCTGTATACTTATCTTTACATAAGTTGCTCTCACGGTATATACTACAAACATTCACTCTGTATATATGTATATTATATTTATACTTGCATATTTATTTTTTTTCCACTCTTCCGTCCTTCTGCACTTTGTATGTAAGTAATACTGTGTTTTGTACTTCGGGTTGGTAACTGCATTGGCTCTGTACCTGTACTTTGCACAACGACAATAAAGTTTAATCTAATCAAATCTAATCTGATCTAAGATAAGCTAAGATAAGAATAATAACGATAATGGGAATAATAATAAAAATAATTAATTAAAAGAGGAAAAGAAGGGTTTGGACCTCATTGCCACAGTGAGTCAGAAGTAACACTGGCTCAGATAAAGACTTCTGTCCACAAACAGCCTCATTTCTTTTCTTCTATGTTCATTAGTGTAAATAAGTCTGATTCTTTATTCATTTTGTTCTTGTTGTGTTATTGTTTTGCTACACGGTGTCGACCAGAGGAGGATGGTTTCTTGGTTTCCCAAGGTTTCTTCTACTTGCTCTTAGGGAGGTTTTCTTCACTGTCGCCATGGCGACACTCTTTTGGGACTTGGACCCAGAGGATAATGAGAGTTTTTTAAGACACGACAGTCAGTCCTGGAGTCTGCGGTGTTCTCCCTCTCTCTCTTTCTATCACAACAACATTCAGACTGAGATCTCAGGCTTATCATCCTCCAGAATAGGAGTGTATGTGGATCACAGTGCAGGAACTCTGTCCTTCTACAGCGTCTCTGACACAATGACCCTCCTACACACAGTCCACACCACATTCACTCAGCCTCTCTATGCTGGATTCTGGGTTGATTGTCCTATTGAAGTTCATGTGAGAACTGTGGGGTTGTGTGATCTATAATGGTGCAAATGCTGTATATTGTGAGGGAATTTCCCTCAAGGTTCAGTTCTAAGACCAATATTGTTTAATATCTAAAGTAATGTCATTGCAACCTCTATTGTAGATTGCAAAGTACATTTATAGTCTAATGACACCATTCTGTACTGCTCAACTCACTATATTGGTGCTGTAGTGGAAAAACTGCAGTATTCTTTCAATGCTTTACAATTACTGTTTACTTATTTTACTGTTGTGTTTATTATTATATTCCTATTTGTTTTATTATTGATTGTTATTTATTTTTGAAATTAATTCAGTTTATTCAGATCTTTTCACAATCTGGACTCCAGAGACAGACTTTGAAACAGTGCTGTGCTGCCCCTTTGTGGTGATGTAGAGTAATGTATTATCACTCTTCTATAAAAGCCTGAACACTCATCATATCTGGAAGTTTTAAGAATATGAATATGATTTTCAGAACTTTTCACTCCACAGCTCTCCTTCCACGGAAGCGTCAAACTTTATTCAACAGTTATTTTCTTAATCATAGAAACACTTCCTGTTTATAAATCGTTGTCTTTCAGTACACCAAACTGACTAAATTAAATCTATAGTAACATCTCAAATGCAGTTTTCTGTACTTTTATAAACCAGATATATTTTTCCCTGCATGGACTGTGTCTCTGATCAAGTATAGTGACTGAAAATAACCAAACCTCATCCTCTTTGTAGCTGGACCCTCCTTAGACCAGTTTAAATTATTATGACTCCAATAAAGTTATTATCAGTTCAAACAACAGTTAAAGAAACAGATTCAAATTCATGTTAAATGTGTGAAGAGAAGTTTAATATTAGAAAACAGACAAAAGGTCCAAACACACTGAATTCAAACATTCAGAACTCATTCAGAGTAATCTGTCAGTGTATAAAATGTGCCTTTAATTATTATAGAATTAACAAATATAGTTTATAAGTGAACTTATAAAAACACTAAAAATTGTTTCACTAATAAGTTCTGAGTTAGAATATCTGTAGACATTGAGCTTTTAGTAAAAAATAATCATTCAGACTTCTCTGCCCAATCACAACCTCCCACATGTAGCCACTCCCACTCTGCTGCTCCCTCAGTTCAGAGGAAACAAAACTGACCTCTGAGAGCTGCTCTCTCTCAGCCTGTGAGTGCAGGAAAATGGCCGAGGCCAGTATTTCAGTAGATCAGGACCAGTTCAGCTGTCCAGTCTGTCTGGATCTGCTGAAGGATCCAGTGGCTATTCCCTGTGGACACAATTTCTGTATGGTGTGTATTAATGGCTTCTGGGATCAGGATGACCAGAGGGGGGTCTACAGCTGCCCCCAGTGCAGAGAGACCTTCACTCCAAGGCCTGTTCTACGCAGAAACAACATGCTGGCTGAAGTGGTGGAGAAACTGAAGAAGACAGAACTCCAAGCTGCTCCTTCTGCTCACTGTTACGCTGGACCTGGAGATGTGGAGTGTGATTTCTGCACTGGGAGAAAACGCAAAGCCATCAAGTCCTGTTTTATGTGTCAGGCCTCATTTTGTGAAACTCATCTTAAACCTCACCATAAAGTTCCTGTCTTGAAAAAACACAAGCTGGTCGAAGCCTCCAAACAGCTACAAGAGAAGATCTGCCCTCAACATGATAAACTGATCGAGATCTACTGTCGTACTGACCAGCAGTTTGTGTGTTATTTGTGTATGATGGATGAACACAAAAGCCACGATACAGTTGCAGCTGTAGCAGAAAGAAAAGACAAACAGGTGAGAAGCAGAAA